ATGCCGAGGTGCACACATCCTGCTAATTGCATTCAAATGGCTGTGGAACAACCTGGAATTGGTTTATCGTCTACTGACTTTTAAATTATTTCTAGCTGACTTGATTCATGTAAAGAAATCCGGTAAATGGGTCTTCATTGTGTACTTGGCTTGCTACAATGATATTGTGTTTAAAAACTACCGAAAAGTCAGCAGTGAGCTTTTCATCAAAATTATTGAAAACTGCAACCTTGATCTTCATCAAGTAGTGACCCTCTTTAAAATGACAGACTATGTACTTCGCTGCCTGGGTTTGACTCACCTGACTGTTTAGGGACTGCAGCTGATGATTAGCCGTATGGCTAACACTGGCACACTGACAGAAATGTTGATGTTTGTGTTCTTTATAAATAAAAAAGTTAAATTGGCAATAAACGTATCACACAGTAGAATGGAACACCTTGAGGTTCGTGAAGAACACTGTTTCGTTCTCTTTGGCGGTACCAATTCCTCAAGATTTTTCTCAAGAATTTCAACACAGATACCCAGTTTGAAAAAGCATGGGCTTTCATCAGTGGGCCATACTGTAGGCTGACTTTCCATTGTGGCAATAGATAGTTAGCCTACTTAATAAACACATTTGTAAGTCTTTCCACTGAAGGTGTTGAACAACGATGATCTTCAAAAAAAAATATTTAGGATGTCCACTGCTACTTATATATTTAGAACATTGATGCCCGCCACTACGAGACACTTTACATGCTGACCAGGGAAACAATGGTGTCTTCCGTTGTCTCCAGTGAAATACTGCCCCCCAGTGGACACAGACATTTAGATTAAACGTCTTCTATGACCTTTCTATTATACAACAAGCCATCACTCAGATGTTCAGTAATTGTATGTTTGGCACATGCTGGCCACACATTGATCCCTCTCTCATGGGCAGACGGTTTGGGCCTGTCAACAACCACAGAGTCTAAAATCATACGGACACTGGCATTTTAAATTAAACCTAAAGAAGATTAAGTCAGTGCTGATGTTTTTCAGACACCATCCCCCCGTCCCCATTTAAACAGGATGAGATCAATCCTGTGCAAACCTACTTTAGCATGCTGCAGGCGGCAGCATTTCTAAGTCATAGGGTGTATTAAACCTAACAACAGCTCTCTAAAATCTCAGAGCGTAACAAAAGAAGAGTAATGTGTAGCGATGAGTGTGATAATTACAACATTAAATAAAACCACTAGTGATATGGGCAATACTATAAAGGTAACATATTTAAAACATATATATATATAGCTTTAAGGAAAGTGGTTGGATAATGAATCAGACTCATTAAAATACCATCAATCATTAAATGACTGAACAGGTCAGAATTTGATTGTGAAAAGATTAAGAGGAAATTAAAGAAGAAACAAAAATGGCCGACTTTATATCTAAAGCCATCTATGGGAAAAAAAATAATAAATGCAACACTTTGGTTTATGAGCAAAGACCTGCACATTTTCTTTTTAATCTGCAAAACGAATGCCCATCGACCTCTACTATATTTTGAGTTTAGTGCCAATGTTAACATGTTAGAATGCTAATACTAAACTAAGAAGGTGACCATGGTATAAATGAAACCTGCTTATCTTAAAACACCATCCCTCCCCTCCGTTCCCATTAAAACACTTTGGCATGCTGCAGGCGGCAGATGTTTTAGGGCATGTGGATGTGTTAAACTCCCACGGAAAAGCTCAAACATCTTCTATAAGCATAACCTTTTATGAACACAACAATGAAAATGGAAACACAATCAAAGTGGACACTGAGAGGTGAAGCACAACGAATCAGAACAGGACATGTGACACGGGGCCAGGACACACCATGCTGGGTCATGCTGCTCTGGGAGATTTATTAAGTGATTTTTCTTTTTTTGCTTTTTATTATGGTTTTCACTTGCGCTCCTGTCAGGAGTGTGGTAAATGGGACAGTCAAGCAGCAAGAGTCACAGTTCATCATCATCATCATCATCATCACTGTCACCACCATTGTTGTCAACGTCCTCATGGTATCATAATAATCATTTTCATCATTTAACTTTTTCCTCAAGCTAGAAAATAATTGACATCACATTTTTTTACTGACTTTTGAGACCACAAACATTCCAGCAACACACTCTAGGATTAAGGGTGGGTAACAATCAGAAAAGCATGACTTTTTGCATAGTATTAAATGAACAAAGACATTGAGTTCTTTATTTACAATTATTGTATAGATAAAAAAAATATCATAAAAACAAGATGAACACTTAAATCACTTACCCATAAAGTATGCCAAAAAGTTATCTGTTGGCATTTCTCTTTTTCTTTGTTCCACAAACTGCATGCTGCTAAATACATCTAGGCAGGTGAGAGTATATTGCAAGAAGTATCATTGATATCATCATCATCATCAACCTTAATCATCATCATCGCCGATGTCATCTTCAACATAATTATTGGCTGTTACAACATGTGTTTCCACTCAGATGTAATCATGATGTTTTGAAGGGTTTCTGACAGGAGCAGTGATTGATTACATACAGCCAAACAGCTGTGTCGGCAGTATGACTTGAGTTGTGGTGCATGATGGTAGATGTAGTCAGGAAGAGTTCCTTTTTTTCACACCAGTCCGCATGGAGTTTCTGTCCTCAGTGGAATCATTGCTGTATTTACAAAGATTATTTTGAAACTTGTCGTCTTTGCATCGTCTTAAAGCTGAATGTCCTCCTGGATGTAAAAGTGGTTGAAGAATGTTGGCTTTTTTTTTATTGAAAATGCTGTTGTTGCTGTTTTTTTGTTTTGTTTATTGTTTTACATTTTTTACAGACAAATAAACAAATGAATTGTCAAGTTAAAACATTGGAAAGGAAACAAAAGAAATCAACAGCTTCTAAGCAGAATATCCAGATGTTTTTTCCCCCCAACTTAAATAAGACAGTTTATTTAAATGGTCCATGTTATTTTTCAACACGCCTGAGCTGACTGGTAAAGCTTGTGCACCCTCTCCAGATGGACGGATCGACTTGGAAATGACAGAGGAGGAGGAGGAGGATAGAAAAAAGGGAAAAAAAAGCATTTTCCGATAAATGATTGTATATACTGAAGTACTGTATAGGATTTATTTTAAGTAGAAAAATCTATTTTCTCAAGTTGCATAATGAGCCTTTCACGTCATGCTTGCCAATGACTTGGGTTAGTATTAGAAATAACAATAGTACAGGTTAGTTAAGTGGCCTTGTCCTTCGGAGTGCAATAAGAATGGGTAAATGTGTCTTCTGTATGTAACTTCTCTCTGTAATGTCTGATTGGTCAAAGCACAATAAATAGTTTACAACTAGTGAGTACAGTTGAGATGCTAGAGTACTGTATATTCTGTGACGGCAGGAAGACAAGCTTGGTTAAAACACACAAAAGCACATCTAGAATTACACCACAGAAGATTTCATTCATAACCAGATAGTGCAGAAAAGGGTCGTCTTTTTTTATATATATAAAAGAGTCAAAGCAACATTCCATGTTTGTTGTAAGTTAGTTTTTTTGTGTGTGTCAGTTTTCCTTGTTTTTCTTTTATAGATGTTAAAAATGCCAACAGCTTTGTGGAGCTGCGTGTGCACACTGCTAGAGGAAATGGAAATAAATCATAATTAAATAAAAAAATAAACAATACAATATATTCCACATTTTTAACAAAAACAAAAAGTCGGATTTCCATGCGGCATAGATAAGCCAAATATAACTCTGCAGCTTTCTAATATGACTCGATTGCAGCCTCTTTGATGGTCACACATATTTTAAAACATCAAGTCCTTTGAACAAGCAGGTTTATCTAGAAGACAGTTCACTGTAAAGGTCCTGATATCAGCCTTTGACTCGAGCCCTGACCCCAGGCCAGCGCTGAAGCACAGAAAAGAAAACACAAGTGAAAAAAAGAGAAGTGAAAAAAAGAATTAAATATTCCCCCTCTGTCACAAAAAGGAGGCCTCCGTTTAGAAAGGCAAGCCACTCCTACTTGATCCCAACAATCATATAGAGTAATACTAAGATTCCACATTGACTACGTATCCCAATATATTTTGGTTTCTTTTTGTTTGTTAATCCTCTAAAAATATCTACAATAATTGAAAAGATAGCAGGCAAATTCCAGCACATGGTTTGTCAGTAATAACACATCAACACAGCTCTGGTCCTTCTGAGCTTCAGCTCCGCCTCTCCTTCTAGAAACCAGGAACGTTATCTCTACGAGGTTGTAAACAAATTACATTCTCTTTAAGACATAAATAAGTCAAAGTATTTTTGAGCCACTGAAGCAGGAACAAGGCAACATGCCGACAAACAAAGATAAACTCTCTCTAAATATATTTATATGTATTTATATTTATAGAATATATCCCATAAATGCTATCATCATCATTATTATCTTGCGTTCCTCCTTTCCGACAGGTGCAAAACTACTGTGCAAGTTGAGCCCTACCACCTCGTAACACATTTCTGTTTATGGATGAAACACATTTTTACAGTCGGGTACATGTTCATGCCACACAGAGGAGGGGGCTTCGCAGGCCAGGAGCTCGGAGAGGCCGTCTTTAAAATAGCAGTCCGCCGCGAGGCCTAGCCCATCAGAACCAAAGAACTCCAATAAAATTAAAAACCCTTTTAAATAAAACTTGGGCAATGTACATTCATGCAGGAGCAACAATAATAATAACAATAATAATCAGAATCATAATAATAACAATGTTTCTCAATTTAATTTAAACTATTATCAGTATTGACAATGTTATTGATGAGGAGAGGGAGTGTAAGGGGAGTTTAGAGTCCGTCCTGTTTTGTGTTTTTGCTCCTCAGCCGTGTCTCCCTCCTCATCGTCTTCCTCCCGGTGCCACTAAAGACACGCTTCATACATATGTGCAGTCAGCGGCACCTTTTATTCAGTACATGCTAACACTCATATAGTCATAAACACCTGACCCCCCCCCCCCCCCCCCCCCCCCCTCCGCCATGTTACACATACAACCACAAAAGCAGGATGGCTGTGTTGGTTTTGTGGCTTTTTTGCGCTTTTTTGATTGTGTGATAAGTTTTATTTTCACCGTCATATTACTTTCGATGTTCCCCCTTTTCGAGAGGAGCGGAGAACTTTAAGAGCTCAAGGTTAAAGGGGTGGGTGGGGGGGGGGGGGAATCTGCCACAGGATGTGTCCTGTGTAGGGGAGTAAATGGGTTTTGGTGGACTGGACAGGGGGGATTTTTGGGGTTGCAGTTAAAGATGTGGAGGTATTGGAGGAGTTTCCCCCAGACTGCAAGGAAAGGACTTGAGAGGTCAGAGCGGAGGTCAGGGTGGGGGTTAGAGGCTGGTCTCCAGGCTGTGAAGAGGGCTGGCGGGGCCGGAGGAGGCGGCTGATCTACTGGTGTCGATGGTGAGGTTGATGCCACTGTCGATGGCGTTGTTATTCTTGTTGGGGGACGAGGGCTGGCTGGAGTACTTCCCCCTCCTCCGAGCGGAGTCATCGTCCGTGTCGTCGATGAGGGGGAGGTTGGGCGTGGAGTCTTCTATCCTAAACTCGGGGTGTGTCATGAAGTTGTGGATGGATGATCTGGAGTCTGGTTTTTCCAGGCCTTCATAGAGGGAGCTACGGAATGCATTCACAACGCGGATCTGTTGTAAAAAAAAAAAAAAAAAAGGGAGGACAAAGAAGAAAACCAATGAGAAATGATGCAATAGACACAATGGAAGGGTGGGACCCTCGGGATGAGGAGAGAGGAAGAGAGGAGGAGAGAAGGGACAGAGGGGAAGGAGAGGACCTCTCAGTTGAGGATAAATAGGTAAAGAAGGAGGGAAAGTAACTTCAGTCTGTGTTCTGCTTTCACAAGATGACCACAGTTCACAAATCACTCAATTTTGGCGTGCACTAGAAAAGCCGTGAGGAAAACAATCATAATAAAAATAACAAAATCATACATTTCAAGAAAAACGAATACCAAAGCAACACAAACGCTCGTTGTAAGTATACGCTTTAGTCCAATGTGCTGTATACCTAGAAACAAGCCACGTTAATAAATGGAATGCTCACAGAAAACATTTAAGGAGAATATCACATGCAAGGTTGAAGAAATCTGGTGGACGAGGTCAGTAAGAAGGAAGGAAGTTAGATCCGAGAGATCCAAATCAGGTGCTTTAAAAACTTCTGTTGTACCAGAGCAACGTCTGGTAAAATATCCACACAGACTCTGAATGGGACACACACAGAAAGCACAGGGTGGGTAAAGCATGGTCCCAAACAGGGCAATGGAGAGGCAAACTCTGCATGAGGAGTTTGCTTCAACACGAGCATTACAGTGTTAAACTCACAACAAACGACACACCCAAAAAAATGAATAAAACAGTGGCATTTAGGGCGAACACAGCAGGTTAGGATATTATGACCACAGGAAGTAATACACTCAAACAACATGCAACAAGACAACAGGAATGTGGACACCAGCACACAGACTGCTGACACAAAACATATGGAAGTGGGTGATGAAAATAATAAGGTAACTGTCAGAGGTGTGACAGCTTTCAACTCCATGCACATCTAAGTAAACACTCAAGTATACGCCCCAAACCACTACTGTACGAGAACCTTCAGTGAGGATTGACAGCAGTATCTGTATGTACGTTTTTTCAGATTGTAGGTTAGAAGTGAATTTTATTTGAAACCCTATTTGCATGTACAAAAGCAACAGCTGAAATGACATGTTATTTATAAACTGCAAAGATATTATTTGATGCTTTTATATAGGGCAATTACTCATGGCAGCTGGGATGTATACAAAAGCTAAATAAGGTGTATTACGCCATTGTGTCTTCATGATTATTCTACATGGATAAGATCTTGTTTTTAGAAGGATGAAAAAAAAGCTTAAAGTGGACCTATCATGCTATATTGAAGTGATATATTGTAGGGCCATACCTATATAAGATATTTTTATACGTTTCTGTTTTCAAAATAGCAAACAGATCATGCATTTTAGCCATGCCTCATTTCGCTCTATGTGCTGTTTGCTGTCTACGGGTCTGATTCTGCTGACCACGCCCCCCTGCAGGAGAGGTGAGCCGTGCTCTGATCAGCTGCTGGGCTGTCAGAAGAGGGGGAGAAAAAGAGATCTCCGTCCTCCGTGTTTTATTATATAGAGTCGTTATTCATTTGTTTTAAAGCTCAATAAATAACAAAGAAGACCTTTGACCGGCACTTTTCTAATTTTGTCTGGAAGATTGAAACTTTAACGGACATCTTGACCGGCGAAACAAACTGAAACTGAAACTCTGCCGCACGGTCCCCTCGTTCCTTGGAAGAGGCGGAGAGGTGGGTGTTTGTCATCTGCTGGTGGACTAACCGGAGAGAATTACAGTGCTTGCCTCGACGGGGAGGGATTGCATTGCAGCGGGAGCAAACGCTTGTCTCGGGGAGGGAGAAAAAAAGCCACAGCGGAGAATAAACAGAAGGGTAACCATGGTAACTATGGGCGGGAAGTCTTCTTCGCTGCCCAACCCCACATTCCCCTGATAGGTGGAGAGTTGGCTCAATAGCCGTAGCGCCACCGTCCTGACGTCAGGACAGTGTTCAAATCTGGATCAGTTTTTATCAGATCCGTTGCAGCCCCTTTTTTAGAGATTTGGGTATGGAGGAAAATAGAGAGGGTTGTGTTTTCTGACACTTGGTGAGTTCCCTGGAACACCGGGGACACATATTCATGTATAAAAGACGTACAAAAGTGCATTTTGCATGATAGGTCCCCTTTAAGCAATAAAAAAATATTTTTTACTACGGGAACATTTAAATCCGTGGAAATACTTGGACCAACAAATATTGAAATGTCAGTGAAATGCTTCCACTAATTGTTAAATTGAGAAAAAAAACAATAGTTACGTTATTTTTGATGAAAAAAATGCAGAAACATAATGTACGTATTTACAGATATATATTTTTAGGCCGAACTGAAAAAATAACAGTTAACAGATTTCATGTTTAGTCTATACAAATGTACACAAATACTGTATGTACTGTAACTATGTTAGCACTGCTGCCCAAAGCAGAGCAGGGAATAAGGAGACAAAACAGCAAAAGCAAAGAATAAGAGGAGCCTGTCGGGATGAGTGCATGTGACAGGATGTCTGACAAGTAACACTGATGGGGTGTCAGAAAAGGAGGGGGGGGGGGGGGGGGGGGGGCGGGTGGTAAGATTTACGTCGCTGTTGCTGCAGAGGATCGATGTTGGTAACTATGGCAACATGACAGAAAACTACACCGACAGTATGAAGCTACAAGACGGGATGAATTACTGGTGCAGCGCTGATTTCTGGTGATTCTCAAACCATGTCCACACAACCCTCAGCCAAGTTTTACACCAGCTTTTTGTCAAGTAGATTAGAGACAATTTTGGTGTGTGTGTATGTGTGTGTGTATACAAAAACAGGGAAATACAGAAGATGTACAATATATTAAGCAGGCATAGTCACTGATACTGTAGATTTTAGTTGTGCCCCTAGAATGTCATTTAAAAGAAAATCTTGTTTTTTAGAAAGTCTTGCCTAGCGTAGCTTCCATTATTGTTTCCTGTCAATACAGAGTCAACTAGAGAATACATGAAATAGCACCTAAAAAATGGCTTCAGCTCAATTCAGAGTGATTTGCCCCATCACTAGCAAACTCACAGATAAAACCAGACAACATGGCGACTTATACTTGAATGTTTACCCAGTCCCTTGGTGAGTTGATTGGAATAAGTTCACATTAATGTCCGTCAAGACATACACATGGAATGATTGTAGGATGGGATGGTGGATGGGGAATGAGCAGAGGGAGACAAACTCACAACCTGAAATGTCACGCCGTGGGTATCACCCTTAGTCCTGCGCTCCTAGCACTCTGAGAAAACAAACACACATTCACCAATGAGACGACAGTACACCAAAGCACGGGAGGAGATTTTAAGATGAAATTTGAACTCGAGTATGAACAGCAAAAAGACAGAAGAGAGAACGGAAATGAAATAAGCAGATAGCAAGAAGGAAAAAATAGGAAGACAAAACCTTCAGAGATGCCAAACCCAAATGGATACTGTCATGGTCATTTATTTTAGGATAAAAAGGCAGAAATTGTGCAGAAAAAAAAAACCTTTGTTCATGACATGATGGCACCTCTGAAGCAAAGAGAGAAGAGAAGCAGACTGACAGAGATCTGACTCACGGCCAGTAGTGGAAGGAGCAGTAGCAGCAGTAGTGCTTGTAGGAGAGGAAAGGGCATTGGACAAGGACACGTGACTAGGACTAGAAACATTGGTTACATCCTGGGTCTGGCTGGTGGTGGACGACTGGCGTCTCAGGGCCCCCGCCCCCTGAAAGGACGTGCCACTCTTGAAGGTGTTGACTACGTCAATCTGTGGGAGGAGAGCGGGACAGAAGAGGACAAATGGCTGCTCATAGTGACAGAGACCAAATGGCAACACAGGTTGACTGGCTGAGTGACTTTGACAGTGTCTCAAACACGACACGATGGGGGTGGGGGGGGACAGCTGAAGGTCAGGGTGTAGCATCCCCTCAACAAAATGTTAAATTTGAACAGTTAAAACCACCTTAATTATATCTCTCTTACCTCATCTTAAGATACATGCCTTCAACCAAATACTATGGAGTTAAATGAGTGTTCAAAATCGTTTTTAGATTGTAATCCTCTATTTGGGCAGATCTAGTGAGTCAAAGTTGTGTCTAATCAATTGATAAATTCAGTGTCTCTTCAAAAACATTGTCCTAGTGTGCTCTAAAAATAATCCATGGACCTCACTGTTTTTATTAGAACTGCCTTGTACTGAGGAAGAAAACCTATGAAGACCACTGATAGAATATTGTGTGGATTATCCAGGTTAATTCAACTTAAAGCACAAAATACGAGTTATCATAATGTGTATGTTTATAGCATACAGCCTGTATTCAGATTTGAGTTGATTTGAACCTTAAGTACTGAGAAAGTGTATCTCTACTGTTCCAAAACCCTGTCTGCAGTACACAGTATCCTGTCGCGTGGATAGCTTCACCCTGGACCAGTAGTGACACATCAGTGAAATGAAATCAAGTCCAACACACAAGCAGAACTGTCTTGTCAATCACAGTGATAACGGTGTGCAGAGGGGTCACAGAGTAGTGACTTGTCCGGTTGTATTTAACTCCTGAGGTTTGACCGTCGATCTTCCACACAGCCGGTCGCCTCAGTCCAGCGAGAGACGGCTGCGTCTTCATGTACCTAAATAAACCAGCTTGTGATACAATGACTTTAAGGCTGTTACTGACTAAGGTGAAGAACATATCACATAGTCTAGCACTTCTTCTTCTGAGCCTCTGAGGTGGGGTCTTAAATGTTGAATTGTATGACAAAGACAGACAACAAGTTAACAGAAAGCTATGTCAGGAAAGAAATCACATCTGAAATATAATTACAAAACAAGTAGTTAACTAATGATACGACTGATTAGAGTAAAATTTCAATGATGTAAATGTTATTTCTTTCAAGCAGACTCAATCCAGCAAAGACTCAACGCGGGGATTGAACTTGTGTCCTCACCTGAGTCTGAATGCGGTTGAGTCCTCTGAACCAGAGGATCTGTCCTCTCCTCAGCTCCCTCTCCGCATGGTCAATCTCGTCATTATCTTCGTTCGTGTCCTCCTCTGGTAAATCATCTTTCCGAGTTAACTGGCCTGCCCTCCGCAGGAAGCGCAACTTGCTGTTGGGGACGCTGGCTATCACCTAGCCAGGAGAAAGTCCAAAGACTGGGTTAAAAATGTGAAAAGCATACAGTAGAGATTGCATGGAAAGTGTAAATAAAGCTAAACTAGGACAAAAACAAAGAACAACCACAGGCAGTGGTGAAGTGAAGAAAGAGAGACATAAAACAGAGCAGTTTGCATGTTACCTGTCCCCAAACAAGCTCTCCCAGCCCGAGGAAAATACACCACATCCACTTCTCCAGGTTCAGAGGCTGACAGCTGAATGGCTTCCCTCCAAACTGCACAATCACAATCTACACAAAGCAAAGGGAAAAAAGAGTTTCATCTAACTTCAACCGGTAACCAACTTTTAAAAAATAAATAATGAAGTCAAATCATTTGCATTTGCGTACCTGCGCAGCAAAGGTGCCAAATACAATAGTGCAGAAGATGGGGTTCCTGAAGATACCATCGAAGACGTTCCTCTCTCCGTGGATTTTGCGGGCATTTATCTCGTTAAAGAGCTGCATCATGACGAAGGTGTTGAAGATGATGGTGTAGTGCTCAGATGGAGGAGAGTGGAGAGGAGCATTACGCCCGCTGTCAATGTCAAAGATCTTCTCACCTACAAGGGGGAGGGGATAACAAGACAATTACTATGAGGACTTTACATCTGAGCCTTTTTACGTCACATGATTAAGGTGCAGAACTCCTGTTGTATTGCAGAGCAAACTTGCAGTCCGTACCAGCAAATAGCAGCGTGAAGATGATGATGAGCTGAAAGACTCCGTGTCCCAGGATGTTCTTTGTCATGGTGCTGGAGATGAGAGGCTTGTTGCGACCGTACGGCTTCCTCTTCAGCAGAGACTCGGTGGGAGGCTCTGTGGCCAGGGCCAGGGAGGCAAAGGTGTCCATGATCAGGTTCACCCACAACATCTGCACAGCCTTCAGGGGGGAGTCCTGTGGAAACACAAGGTCAATTGCAATTAAAAAACAATGACTTCAATACTCCCAGGGGTGAGAAGTCATTCATAACCAATACTTCTGTTGGAACTCATTTACTGTCTTTACACACTTGTATTTGATTACCTCGGTTGTTTGACTAGATATTTGCTTAAGAATTGCACTCAAAAGCTTTTGCATTAAAGAGTAGACTAGTTAGGCAAGTAAAACCCAATCACATGCCCACACAACAGAGCCCGACACTGACTTTGAGAAATATCAGCTTTGGGTTGAAGAACCTGAAAACACTGTTGCAATTTTAGTCACCTTAAAAAAGTGATTATGCATTTATATGTAATTTGTATTAATTCAAATATGACATGAAGGAAAAACCACTCAATAAAGTAACCAAACACATTCTTTGTTTGTGTTTAAGTCATACCTTACACAATTTGTGTTATCAGTCAATATGTTCACCCTCAATTCCTGGTATACGAAATACAGCCAAATCATTGGTTGCCAATGTCTTCGAATTGTTGCCAATGGTAACCTGCCAACTGTTTGTGCCAGTAACTGCACACGCCTCTGACCTGTGTGATGCAGGCGCCGGTGAAAGCCACTATGACGGCCACGACGTTGACAGTGAGCTGGAACTGAAGGAACTTGGAGATGCTGTCGTAGACGTTACGGCCCCACATTACTGCTTTCACGATACTGCTGAAGTTGTCATCAGTCAGAATGATATCTGACGCCTCCTTGGCCACATCTGTACCAGCGATACCCTGAGGAGAGCAGAAAAGGAGCAGTGAGAACTAGTATCTATTGCATCATACTGCATTATCAAAAACCACAGGAACTGAATTGAAAGAGATCTTTGTAGCCACTGGAGAAAACTGGACTGAAGACACAAGTCAGCTCTAATGATGAATAATGATGATGATGCAGACTAATGAAGGCGTTGGTGTGTTGGTAGGCTCCATATCAAGGGCAGCCTCCATGATATTCTGTCATCTCTGGTGAGTTACAGGACGAGTATCAGGGCTCAGCACCTCAACAGTGTTCATAGTGGTGATCAAAATAAGAGTGTTCTTCACCTTACAACTGAGACTCCTCAGATTTATCATGAATCAGATTACCAAATCAATTAAGAGTGTAAACTGTTAAAATTCACTTAAATAGTTATATTTCAAGCAAGACAGGTGGCGACAATGAAGAACAACTTGAGCTCAGCTGAACAAGCATGAACAAAAGTATGGAAATCACTGTCTTCATTATTGAATCAAGCAGGAAATGGATGTGGAGGAGCCAAATTATTTAATTAGGGACACAACAGAAATAGATGAAACAGTATAACAGCTGCACGACAAATACATATAAAGCTGAGAGTTACAAGAAGAAAAGACTTAGTTTGTTTTTCGTTTTTTAAGTCGTTGCAGAAGTAGCAAAAACGTATTATGGTATGTATTGCAGAGGAATTGAATGAGTTCAGAAATCCACCAGGGGGAGCTCCTAATCTATACAGCTAGAGGCAGAGGGCCTGAGAGGAACCCTACATACTGCAGAGGTGAAAAAGATATCTGCAGATGTTGACTGAGATCAATCTCAAAGGGCAGCAAAAGAGAAAATAGGGTTTGCTCACCATGGCGAAGCCGACATCAGCTTTCTTTAGTGCAGGTCCATCATTGGTCCCGTCTCCTGTCACAGCCACCACCTGCCTCTGCTCTCCTAAGGTACTGTCAATAATGCCTTCAAAACACACAGTGCACATACATTGAACACAGCAACTCAATGCAAATAACCCCACATGATCAACAATATTCTTAGACGAATAATTTCAGTTATTTACTGCATCGGAGAGACAATTGTATTTAGAAAATGTTGAGATGAGTTTCATTTCTATCAACAGTAATGAATATGAAATAGTGCAACCAGTTCACCTTTGACGAGTGTGTGTTTGTCGGTTGGGGAAGATCTGGCCAGAACTCGGAGTTTAGGCCACACCTTGTCAATGCGCTCCTGCTCCACCTGGGAACGCACACACACAGAAAAATAAAAGGTCAGGTAGTTCGAGGGGAATCTTTCTTGTTCTTAACTCAGCCGCTCTCACAGTGGTTTCTGCACCAGCGTTGAATACCCAAAGGTAAAAAGTCAGACACAGATACCACTAAGTTTGTCTGGCCACGTCAAAAGAAACATGGTTATGTTTTTGACCTGGTGGCCTTCATCAGGGCTGGAAAGAAAATGGGAGTCATATCTGCTCTACATAGGAGGTTAAAAAGGTAACATGGTCATTTACTTCGAAACGTAGTAGTGTGAAACCTCAGTGATAACCGTGAAACTGTAAGGTATTTCACCTGTTTTTAGTCATTTTTTAATCGTCAGAGTCAAAGGGACCTTAAGAATTTAATTACCAAGTGACCTTTAAAACCAATCACTTTTAACTCCTGTATACAAAAGGACATTACTTGAATTTCCTTTCATGATCTGATGGAAGCCACTAGGCTGAAACTTAGCATGTTCTTTTTGACGTGGCCAGACATTTGAGATTTGTCTGCTTTGTCGTTAAGATGTGTGTGTGATACCTTACTACAGGGGTGTCAAACTCAATTTCATCGCGGGCCACATTAGCATTCTGGTTGCACTCAAAGGGCCGGTTGTAACTTTAAGACTATATAAATATACATATATAACTATATAATATATATTAAATAATGTATTATATTATATTATTGGCTCTGCATTGGATTATTATCAGTTCTGGTAATAACTTCATAAATAACTATGCCTGAAGTCTAGGGCAAATAATTGAAAGCAAATATTCAACAATTACACTAATTGTATTCTTTGCAAGCTCTTGTGGGCCATGTAAAATGAGGTCGCGGGACGGTTTTGGCCCACGGGCCTTGAGTTTGACACCCCTGCCTTACTACATTCGCATATTAAACGCTGGAACTTTGTGTTCTTAAGCCACACTAACTGACATTTAAAGGGAGATTTGTCGAGTCGTAAGTAGCTACTGTACCTCTCCTTTCTCATTGCGGATCCTCCTGTTGAACTCCTTGCCATCGATGCAGATGAAGTCCTCTCCGGGGTGGATGATTCCACACTTGATGGCTATGGCCCTGGCTGTGTTTATGTTGTCTCCTGTCACCATGCGAACTGTGATGCCTGCCTGCTGGCACTTCAAGATAGCATCAGGCACCTAAAGAGGAAGACATATTTCATAGCATTAGTTTATAGTCCTTTTTTTGCTACTTAAAGGGGACCTATCATGCAAAATGCACTTTTGTACATCTTTTATACATGAATATGTGTCCCCGGTGTTCCAGGGAACTCAACAAGTGTCAGAAAACACAACCCTCTCTATTTTCCTCCATACCCAAATCTCTAAAAAAGGGGCTGCAACGGATCTGATAAAAACTGATCCAGATTTGAACACTGTCCTGACGTCAGGACAGTGGCGCTACGGCTATTGGGCCAACTCCACCAATCAGGAGGAGACAACCACGGCATTGCCGTTCGAAAGCGCTGGAGACGTTGTAGTATATATGCCAGGCCTGTAGGTGGTGCTGTTCTCACTGAATCTGCCCTTGCTAAAACAGATCTAAAAAATGTCAAATTGAGCTAAATGAGGCATGGCTAAAATGCATGATCTGTTTGGTATTTTGAAAAAAAAAAAGTATAAATATGCCTTACTGTATATAGGTATGGTCCTACACTATATTATTCAAATATAGCATGATAGGTCCACTTTAAAGTTCCACTATGTTCACCAGCTAGTCGCTAACTCTGCCATTTGGTGCTAGAAAGGCAATATAAAGTCTTTAGGGCTACATTACAGCTGCCTGCTGTATCACTAACAGCCCAACAGTATGAGAGGATTACTAAATCACAAACAGTAAAGGTGTTTCTCTTAGTCACTTTGATGAACCCCTTTCACATTCACGTAATCATTCATTGTCACTTTCACATATGGATTATAGTAGCTTTAAGAGCATATCAATTGAAACAATACAGCTATCTTTTTGACTTAACCTCAAATAGACAAGGTTTTATTTGATCAGAATTCTGATTCCTCAGTAGTAACATAACATTAACTTTGTCAAATTTTAAATGAATATAATATATTACACAACATTTGTATGGAATCTCTCTTTTCCCTTCAAACTAATAGAGTGGAAGAAGTGACTGTATGTAGCAGATTGGTCTGTGGTATAACCAGCAAGCAAAAGCAGAGTATTAATTCAGAAACATCTTCTTCCTGACAAAGGTCAGTGTGGGCGAGCGCTGCACTCAAACCCACACACAGACAAACAAACAAACGTGTGCACATACAGTAACAGCAACTCGCATCCATGTGCACATGCACACAGGCCCGGGACTCGAACTATCTTTTCCTCCTTTGGGCATATAGCACATACACACATTAGCCATTGGAGCATTGTTGTGCTCACAATCACAGACCAAATTAATCCTCCACGGCAATGTGTAAATGTGTTGGCATAATAAACAGCCAAATCAAGCTGCTCGTAGATGTGTTAGTTTAAAGACAGCGTAATAGAAAGTTAATGTATACAGTGGAGGAGGGAAGGTCTTTACTGAGCAGGAGGTTAAACAAAAAGAAATCTCATAATTATAATGTACGGCTCATTAAGTATACATGTAGCTTCAAAGGCACAAAAGCTAGGGTTTTTGTGGAAGAAATATTATAGATTCATTTAACGATAATCCCTCTCAATCATCAAGACTGTCCTCTGCTTGTATATTATTTGTTCTGTTCATTTAGCTTTGTTCAGGACATCTCTGGGCGTCTCTCTGTGCGTCTCTCTGGGCGTCTCTCTGCCCCTGCCTCCAGCTGACCCTCCTCAGACTCTGCTCCCCTCGGGGCTCGATGCTCTCCTAGCTGACGCTGTAATCAGTGTAGCCTGAGTCGGATACTCTGGAAGCTGCACCAAATTCTCCTGTCCATCACAAATACTATGCCCATTAGCTAGCTAGACTAAACATTGCTAAACTTACCGTCTCGTGTGAGTCAAAGAAGATATGGAAAATATGAACGTTATGTTTACTAATCCCTGTGCCTTACACAATAGACACATCTTCTTGTTGTTTAAAGCTAATAACCGTTGCTCTACAGCTGCCATATGTGGTATAAAAACTCAAATATATTATAAGTGGAGAAAATGTATAGTTGAGTCAGTAATGTGAATTACAAAGCAGCATTTCCCTAAAGTCTGCCTACATAGGTCATACGCTACTAGTCACAACAGACAAAATAGCTTTTTGAAGTGAGCAGGGTTGTGTTTCTGATTTAACCAATTTATGAAATAATTAATTTGGTAATTGTTTCTAGTTTTCCCATGAGGAGGTGGTCAAGGGAGTTGATTTTTTCCAGAAATGAAAACAATATTGCTCACAAATAGTCACATAGGCTTATTATAATCAGTATTTATACTTGTGTTGAGTATTTAAATAGTGCATTTACAAAAATAACAATAAGAGGAAGCTCCATTCATCCGTTAGAAGTCAGTTTTCAATTCAGATCTCGCAGTAAATATTGTGGCAAGTGGAGCAAGTTATTATATTAAGCTCTGCCTTCTCTGCTCTCACCAAGTCATTGTTATCAAGCTATCAAGTTCCCGCCTGCCTATCTGTCATCCCTGCTGTCTGTTTCACTCTTTTTTCTTTGGATTCCCACTGCTCTAGTTGACTGGTGATCCGAAAGAGGAGGAGGAGGCTTATTAAAAATACAATCTGGCCCGATGGAGGAGGCTAGTATAGGTGAACCTGAAAAACAAGCCTCTCGTGTCTCTAATATGGATTTGGTTTCCCTCTCCTCCGTTCCTCCACTTCCCCGTCTCCTGCAGACCGACATCGGTCTGACATGAATCTGATTTAGAATCTGTTTATCTTTCCTGGGCTACATCTTTCCCTCTTCTCTTTCTTCTCTCCCCTCTTGTTTCTCCGGGGGCAAACCTATAGAGCAGCTTTTTATTAAAAAGAACATCGCATTCGAAACACTAATAAACAAAAACAAAAACATGTTTACCACTCTGTGTGACCTTTGTAGCAAAACGTAAATCCTCTCTTTTCCAATATTAGCCAGTCTTACTCAGAGACCTGGAAAGATGTCAAGGGAGCGAGCGGTGCGATGCTTTTCCACATCAGTTATTAAAAATGTTGGATGCAAAGTTGAAGAAGAAATGAAAAGCTGCAAACTGCCAGGCTTGGTGCAATGCAAGGGAGTATATTAACACATAAGGTGTGAATAAATACATATCAGATGTTGCATCATTTGCAGACATCTGCATTATTGGAGTTCCAATCTGCAATATTCAGCTTTTTTATTGATTATTTTCATCATAAAATGGTGTATTTTTATTTATCTCCACTCATCTTACCTTATATAACACTGTAATGCAAAAAGTGCTTCTGGCTAGTTTTTATTGTTGTGTATTATAATGTTTGCTTATTCATTTTGAGGATTATGGTCTTCTTTTTGCATTTATTTATTTGATCTAAATCTGTTAAGATGCTTACATAACTCTGCTTCAGACAGAAAAGCAGATAAAGGGGCAGATAGAGGAAGGTAGGTGCGGAGAGAGTGAAGAGAAAGAGACATGAACCAGGGAAAGGTGAAAGTCAAACCGTACGATTCAGAGAGAGTTGGAAACTCCAAACGTGTTGGAGTGAGGTTGAATGAGAGGTGGGGGATGGAAAACAAGATGAAAGGAAGAAGTTGAATAATGCAGTAGTCAGTTAGCTTCCTGCTTCCCTGTACCTGCACAGGAGCTGTCAAGTGAGGTCCGCTGTACACTCTTTCCATCCCATATTCTCCCAATGATATTACTCCTTTCCTTCAAGTGCAATTCATCAGTATAAGATTTGAATGAATTATTGATGCATCACTTATTTAAAGGTGGGGTAGGTCATTTTGGAGAAACCAGAACCGAGTGCGCTAGAATTTGAAAGTACACAACCGGAAAAAATCTGCCTCTTCCTTCAGACTTCCTTACAGAGCCCCTCCTCCAACACACACGAACGCGCACATGACCAATGAGGGCACGAGATAAGTTTGTGCACAGATGGAAGTCTGACAGGCAGGTAGGCCATCCAGTTATTTTAGCCGGGCCGGCTCAGATGATTGGTCGTGCTTTGTACAGCGCCACGGCTTCCAAGGATGAAATATTTGTATGTATTTTTTGTCAAAGCATTTAATGTATTCATTGCTATCAGGATGTTAAGAGCATTCCATGGAATATAACAAAAAGTGTTTCTGAAATAAATTACATACCCCACCTTTAAATAGTGTTTTTGTTTGCCTTCAACAGAGCAGAATATTTAAAAAATAAAAGTAATTAGAAATAATCCTCTGCAAGAAAAAAGTCAAGTTTCTGTTGCAAGATTTTGATAACCCTGTCTAATCATGTCATTCACCTTCCTGCCTATCTAGCTTGTGCACACTCGGATATTGCACTCATTGCCCATAATAACTTACAATAACCATGTTTGTTGATTAAGATCAATATGAAATGTTTCAGTATGTCACCCAAACATCTCACAGCCTCTTACCTCTGGCCTGACAGGGTCCTCTATCCCAACAACACAGATGGCGGTGAGGTCATTCAGGATGCTGTTCTCATCTTCCCAGTCGGGCTCGGGGTCACTGGAGAAGTCACGGTACGCCACACAGATGGTCCTCAGGCCGTCACACGCCATGGGCTCGATCACCTTCTTCACCATCTCGTCCTTGTCCCGTGGACGGAAGACCCTCACCTCCCCTACCTCGCTCAGGATATAGCTGCATCTGTAATTTAGGGTGGCGTGGACAGTTGAGGTTAGATTCAATTCTGTTCTGTAACTTTGGAAGAATGATGTCAAAATGACCCAACATACGTAAATCATAATGGCCTATGCACTGTGAGTTTGAAAGAACAAGAAAACCTTTTGGTCTAAATGATCATCACACATTTAGACAAATATGACAACTCAAAGGAATGGTTTAACTTTATTTCCAAGAAGCACATGAGTAGATGTTTATTGTCTTTTCATATCTGTGCTTTCAATACTAAGCTACAGCCAGGTTAGCTTAGCATAAAGCAACAGCTAGCCTTGCTTTGACAAAATCCACCTACAGTACCAGGTACTCTAAAGCCAACTAATTACTGCGTTATATCTGACTTGTTTTAATACAAAATCCAAAAACCAAAGTGTAAAAACTTCCATTCACCACTTTATGCTAGGCTAAATGAACCGGCTGCTCGATATTTAATTGAAAAATAGGAGAGGAGGAGTATTAATATAGTTATCGTCTACTCGGCTAGGAAGCAATAAAGGCAATTCCCAAATTGTTAAGGATTAAATTCACCTGCTATAATCGGAATCGGAAATCCTTTATTTGTCCCACAGCGGGAATGAATAAAGGATTTCTGGTATGTCATTAGCAAATTAACTTTAATTTGCTCCAAAGTTATTTTAGGACTTTTGTCATTTGGGGCACACATGTTTATATAACCCCTCGATGTATGTATGTAATGTATGTAACATGTTTCCAATCCTTAGTTTAAATGCAATTTATTACAATTTAATGTTTTTTTTTATATCAATCATGCTCAAAGGAGAATGTATGCTACGTCCTTTAGTTTGTGCAGGAAGCTTAATAACTGCCTCTCATTTGTTACTGTGCTGTAATCGTTGTGTTCTGTAAAATGTCAGAATTGTGTGACCTTCTAGTGGAAACTCAGCCCACTCTCAATGCCTAGAGCATGTGCATACCATTAGTACATTATGCACTCCAAATGGATTAGCTGTACACTTGGTAACAACATTGAACAAATCATCACTTTTTGTAATACTATTACAGCATATTACTGTAGAACAAGGTTATGTGCAACTATTTATATCAGAATAATGTCATTTAAACACAAAACCAGACTCACTTTTTGAGGACGATCTCAGAGGCTCCCTTGCTGTACATGCGGAAGCTCCCATCAGGCAATTTGATGACAGTGCTCATGGACTTCCTGACAGAGTTGAAGGTGTAGACTTTGTAAAGCTTCTCCTCTGGGATCTGGTTTCTGATTGGCTGGTAATCCCGCTTCAGGTCCAAGAGAAATCCCAGCAGGCCGCACTCTGTCTTGTTGCCAACCTGCTTCGGCAGACCGCCTTCCTTATCTGGGGGCTAGAGGGAAGATTTTCGGATGTTTAATTAAAATGTAGCCAAATATTAGCTGTAATAAATATTATTTTCTACCAGTGGTTGTATTACACATATTATTATACCATTTGATGATTATAATGTATTTTATGATTGTTTTACCCATCAGTTGTGGACTTCCATGCATATCATTATGATGTAATTCCATCAATATTTTGGTTGTGTTTTCTGGCAAATAGAAATGCTATACTGTTTGTTCAGTGATCTATTCAATCAATGAGATTCTCTTTTCTTCTGCGCAGTGCAACCAATGTAGGGCTTGAAATAGCTGCTAGTGATAATTAACCAGCTAGCAGGTGAAGGGTTGCTCTGTGTGGGAGGGCGCTAGTTGAGTAAGATGGAGTCAGATGTGGATTTTCTTATTTCAGGCATATGGCTCAACCCATTGCAATCTGTAATTGAATATTTCTAATGGATTTGACTGGTTCAGTAAACATGGCAGTATCACCATTTAAAGATGACTACACGGATTTTGTGAACAATAGATAAAGCAGCATGTGAAATGTTTTTTTAATAAACATTTTGTTCTGATCAATACTCTTCCTATCATACTGTAATCACAGAACCAAAGAGAAATCCTCAGATTGCTTGTTTTGTTTAACTCACAGTTAAACTGCAGGAATATATTGCAGTGGGTCAGCGGAGCCATTTCTGTACCTCTCAAAGCCTGAGTGTTTATCATGAGCCGACTGTAGAAGCTTTTACTGTAGGTGATGTTTGCATTATCTGTGCACGTGGCTGTTCAGGTGCTACAGTGTGTGTGGGTGTGGGTGTGTGTGTGTGTGTGTGTGCAATTTCCCTTCACACTCTCTATGTGTGCAAGTGTGTGTGAGTGTGGTCAGCGTGTGGAAGACTCATCGTTGCCATGGTAACACTGGGCAAAGCATACTTGTGAGGAGAGACTTGGGAAAAGAGAGGGTGCTCTCTCTCTCTCTCTCTCTCTCTCTCCCAACACTTCTTACTCTTTGGCTCAGATTCTCTTACAGGATTTTCACTCATCTCACTTCACACATGTCCTCCAATCTTTCTATGTCTTCCTTTTCATCTTCCCCCAGTCCCATATTCATTAGTATTTCTCGCACTTCACTCCATTTTGTACTGCAATTTGTCAAGTAACACAGAAATACTAAGTAATAAAGAATTTATAAAGAAGTCTTCGTTTTGTTTTTAGATGTTCTGTATTTCTGCTAATGGGAAAAAACGAATAGCAATGTGTTAACCTCCTCCAGAAACCAGTCACGGCAAGAACTTGTGCTTGAAAATGAAAATAGTTCATAAAGGTTATTTTTTGATACATTTGTTTTTCCAGCCTAAAAGGAAAAGAACACACATTTTGCGACATGAATCAAATGAATAGACATGAAATAACTGAATAGACATTAATCAAATGAATTGTAAAAGTGAACAACAGCCAATAAGGGTGATTGTTCATCAGTATTTTAGAACAAAGTCCTTTATGTTCATTCGGATCCCTACTAGCCGGCCAGAGCTGAAACCTAGTCTCTCTGAGGTTGTGCTATATAGTGACTACAGTACGCACAACAGCTATGCTCAGAGCTGAAGAACAGCATGTCAGGTACTCATTCCTTCTCTAACACATACACACACCTACACATACACACACACACACCTACGCAGAATGTCTAAAGCACTTTGAACATAATGCGTCTGACTTGCTGCTAAGCAGACACCTTCAGTCTGTGCTATTTGCCCCAAAATAGATTGACTGCAGGTCCTTCTGTTCTGCCTCTCAACAAGCCTCCAACAAAGATTAGATTTAAAAGAATAGCTTGACATTTTCAAGGTTTTTCATTTGACTTTCTTCCTTTTTTTTTATTCACGTGGCACTTGGGAAAAGTATTGAGAAAGATGATGTATTGACAGTGTAGTTAATAACATGAATTACCTCATGGATTTCTGTGTATTCTCACACTTTCCATTGAATGGACGCTCTTGTCCAGCTGCTAACAAGTTTTGATAGAGAATGTTAATAAAATGTTTATGTGCCTGGCAAAGATTCAAATATAATTCATTTCAGTACATAAGAAATTGTAACCAAACTGCAATCTATTAATTGAACCGAGGGTCAAAAGAAAGTGTCTTACTCTATAATGTTAAGGTTGTAAAATCCTTTGAGGCACATTTGTTTTGTAGCTAATAAGATAAACAATGTCAAGGTTTCACTTTTCTGTCTTTCTTAAGTTACATTTTTTTGTAAATTGAAGCCAATATGTTTGAAGGACTGAATATCGCTAACTTCTGGAAGTGCTTAAACCATCTCTCTAGTAAGTGATATGTCTGCTTTCAATGTTTACTTAAGCAGCTCAATATATTGAAACAACATTTTCTTTGGAGACAAGAAACATCGATCCATTCGGGCTCAGGCACATTATACGTGTACCTTTAACTACAGCTGATGTGAGCCAGAGGTTAAACAGAAGAGGGTTAGAGAGGAAATTCATCTAAAATCTCATTAATCATTAAAACACAATCAGTGCACTGTCCCTTGTTCACCTGGTAATTAGACATATCTGGGTAATGTCCAGCTGTGTGTCTCACATACACAGACAAGAGTATAAATACTTTATACCCAGTTTGCGGTAAATAACGGAATGAATGCCTTTTCCTAATGACCACTGATTACATCAGGAAGACACTGCCTGTCATTGGCTAATGAGGGGATGAAACAAATGTTGTCATCTGCACTGTCCACTAAGTGTTTGGAGAACAGGCTCCCAGCAACAGGAAAACATCAAACTAAATGACTGAATAACCAGCTGAAAACCATGCAGGGTGTAGGTCAGTTTGAAATGATTATGTAAGCATGAAGCTGGGGTATATAAGAGGTGTTGGCCTTATATTGCATGTTAAAAGATGCTCGTTTGGCATCATGTTTTCACTTTGTATGATTTTTTCTTCCTTACTTTGATTACTTTTCTTCTTTACTCTGATGATAAGTGTCAGTTTAGATAGCAAACTCACTTACATGCAAAACACATTGTATTGGAACAATGCATGAAATAATAAGATTTGCCTTGAAGTCATAACTTTTTAAGGAGCGTAATCTGTTCAAGGGGTCCTCAGTAATTCCACTTGTTTACTATAAGTTCCAGACTCATTGTTGCTGGCAGAAGGAAATAAATAAATGGCCGACATAACGCTGCCCTTAATGCTCTGAAATTCCACAAAGGTATAGCCTGACGTGAGTTCCTACGCACAAAAGCAGTGTCTGGCATGGGATGCCTAACGTTGGCATAACGGAGCTATGTTTGGCACTTCCCGGCCTGGACGTGGCGGAGGACCAGCTGCCCTCTCTCTGGTCCTTGGGTGCTCCCGCAGGCAAGGACATATGCCAAGGGGAGAGCTGGCAACTTTACTTCCTCTTCCACCTGGGGCTCTCCTTAATCCATCCCTCCTGTTCCTGTTCCTTCCCCTGATCTTCCATTTTCTTCCTCTTCTCTTCACACTCAACCCCACCCTTTTACTACTCAGTGTTCGTCCTTCTGTCCCTATACTTGATATCCTGTCTTCCCTTCTCTCATCCCCTTAAATCCTTACCATTCTTCCTCTCTATGGATGACTTACCCCTTTTCCGTACTACCAGTCTCTACAGTATCCTACAAGGCGGACCCCCCCCCCTGCTTCCACCTTCCTCCTTGATCCCTCTTGTATGTAGGAGTGGGTGATATTCTAGCTCTCCACATGACTGTACCAGCCAACTGGGCTAAGGCCTGGAGGCATGCTGCAGGGCAGCAATACAGCCCTGCAGTCCATGATGAGGACAATCGTCACGCGAGTGTGGTTTCTCTCATCTCTTCCTGTATAATTTTCCTATCTTCTTTCATCCTATTTTTGCACATATCCTTGCTTGGCTCCTCCCTTCCAGTTGCTTTGATTTAATTTCCCCTTGTTTCTCTTCCTGTCCTTTATTTGCCCTTCTACTGTAGGGATAGTAGTAGTCGGAAAAAAACAATGCGAAAAGGCATGAATCTCATATCCTTTCTTGTACAACTTTATTTTAATTTTAGAATACTATGCCTGTAGCTTTGACTGTGCCTTGATGATCAATTTCACAAATATCTTTTTGAAAGTCAGTCCATTTAGGGGAATTCTAGGAGGTGTAGTCACTATGGGTTTAACTGATAATGGTAAAACAAGCCTTGGAGATCTCTATACTATACTGCTTTTCCCTGTGCTCAAAGACGCTTTACAAGCAAATAAAGAAGGCTTTAATACTGAAGCCAGTTCATATTGTTTTACTACTTTGTATTTAATATACACAGGTCTAGAAAAAAATGGAAACACAGTAACTGAGAGCATGAAATCTATCATGTCATGTGTGAGGGAAACGCAGGGAGCCCATTAAGCTTCGTGCCTCTGACACATCAAAGCATTGTCATTCTAATGTGATGACGACCTCTCTTTCACTGCCATCTCAGCAACACTGTCACGTGAACAAGAGAAGGACATAACTCAGCTAAAGATGTCTCTGCTTCCTCCACTGAATCTCTGTCTCTGTGTCCAAAACTATTCCATGGGGACACTCGGTGCTTCAAGCCAAAGACATCCAAGACACTCTCATCTCTCCTCCATGCTGTGCAAACAAGCACGCAACGTCTAGATGACAAAAGCACTGTGAGCCAATTATAGTAGGACCCCACTACTCACTACCAAACAAAAATGAGGTAGTGCATTTAATTACAGGCAGAACATTGCCCATTGTGGAGCGACATATGACGTTTTTTCCCCATTTAACGTGAACTGAAATTTGTTTTGTTTGCTTATCTTCATACTGAGCTACTGTAAATGTCCCTTTGTACCTATACCTCACAATTGAAGCCATCTGTGTGTGTGTGTGTGTGTGTGTGTGTGTGTTTGCTTGCATTAACTGTGTGCATGTGTGTGTATCATCCACCTCTCTTGTCCCTGAATAATGACCTGAACAGGTGGTTGAAGCCACATGAGATTGAGCTCCAAGGACAGTCACAGCCACGCTCAACACATGACACTGTGCTGCAAGAGAATACACCTGTGAGCTGAGTGCCTCCTACAGTGTGGGTATGCCTGATAGGACAGATGCGTGGCAGTGTTTGCATCTGAAAATGTCGATTGAAAGCTTCGATTGAGGTTTTCAAATCAAGTTTTCAATGTCTGTTGACATATTTTATAATGACATTGCTCTTAAATATTTAACATTCTTTAACCAAAACCTACATATCAATAAAGTTATTCATTAGATTAAGTTCATTTAATCAAACAGGGTTTTTATAGACCCATATAATATGTCTCATACAAAATGTAAAACCTATGAAAGTGAACTGAAAGTTGAGAGAGAAACAGAAGAATCAAAGTATGTCTAAATCAATGGGGATTTTGTCTGTATAGCTCGTGCCACTGGCGGTGATGCATATCCTCTTATGGTGAACATGTATATTGACGTCACTGAATGGTGTTCACAAATTGCTCAGTAGCTCGCTTGACTTGTCTGCAAGATACATCCCAGGCGTACTGGTGTGCTAATTTGTATGCATGTGTGCACGCAACCTCTTTCAGAATATACAATAAATGGATGTGCCCATGAATACAGTATATATGAGCATGTGCGTGTACTGTATGAGTGGTTATACTTTATGTGTGCATGGATTCATTGTGTAAATGTCTGTGAATTTCTCCCTCAAGGACAAGGCTTCTCCACTTAGAGTTGCGATGTGCTGACAGAAGAAGCAGAGCCATACCATTGGCTGTATTATACAGCTAGAGAGGCAGTAGGGGGACTGATACGGGTATCAAAGCCTGCCTTTTTGCCTTTGTGTCTTTGTGGTGGCCATCAAAGACTTCCATAGCCATCCTGGCATCCCACAGGATTGGCCTCTTATATAAGAACACACCAGCCAGCGTACTGCAGAGCTGGAGTGGCGCTGAGGGAGTGGGGGTGGCAGGGGGAAGGAGAAGGGAGATGTACTAAATATTCTTCAGATATGTTCCTTTTCGCATCTGGCTTTATTAGTTCATTCCTTAATTATCTCTGTCCTTATCTATCTTGCTCTCTTGTTTCTTGTATTTCCTTCCAGAAAGAGCTCTCGATAAATAAATGCTGACATGTTCTGTACTATTTATGGGCTAGATTTTGTCTTCAATACTACCATAACATAATGTATGTGTATTCTTTGGTTATCTTGTATGTATGCATGCATGAATGAAGAGATGTAGATGTATGTATAAGCAATGTTGTCAGTTGGGTATCTAGAACAGAAGATGCTTTTGTTAAATACTTTTTGGGATGGATGGTATCATCAGTACACATACTGTATACATGCTGATATCATTTAAAATTCACCCCAAAATGTAACTTTTATGAATGAAGAGATTATGAAACAGACTGAATGTGCCATTTAATCCGCCACGTCAGCCTTGATTCTGTTGAGCTAAGCAGCTGTGGAGGTACAATAGTCTGATGTAATGCTGCAAAGCGTTCCTCAAAGGTTTTTATATGGATAACATCTTGTTATTGTAGCACATCATGGTGAAGAATTGCTGTGTGTAAAGGCAGCCTAGGCAACCCTTATAGTTCATCAACAAAACATTTGTGTAGCTATAGCAAACATTCAATGACTTTCGATTATTTAAAAGAAAATTGTTACATAATAGACCTAGACAGTAATGTGTTGCCGGATCGTTTCTCTTGGCTACCATTTTCATCTTTAATCGTCACTTTCAAATAGATGCAAAATACTGTCAGTAAATATCATGTGCCTTATTACAGAGGTTATGTTTTTGGCTCAGTTTGACTACAAAAATAAAACTGTCCGGAAGGGTATACTGTATCATCGGCCGAGCAAGAACCCATTACATTTTGGAGAAGATTCAATGCAGAGGGCGGACACTGGAAGATAATGCATCTGCGCTGCATCCATGTTCTGTTGAAAAGAAACTTGCCTTTTTATATTTATCAATTTAAGAAAAGTAGTTTTCCAAATATTGATATTTCCAAAATATATTATCAAAGTTAATGTAAAGGACTTTGTATATTGACTGAAGATAGAAACTGAAGCATATGCGGTGTGTGGTCAGATTATACATGGCTTTGACAATAAATCATTTAAAATAACAGGAACATTGGATAGAGCGTTAGTGTTCGGATCTGGTGGTCACAGGTTCAAACCCCACTGCAGTCAGCATGTCGTTGTGTCCCTGGGCAAGACACTTCACCCCAAATTGCTCCTGTGGCGATTGTCCACAGTATTGAGTATGTAAGTCGCTTTGGATAAAAGCGTCTAACAAGTGACATGTAATGTGAAAGTAATGTAATTCTCTGTGTAAAGAAACGTCCATGCAAAAGGTTTTGTTTGTTAAACATAAGTAGGGCTTAACAATGTGTCAATGATTTATATATTTAAATAGGGGCTCTGTGAGTAGACAAACATTTTAGTTTTCAATCCTGAACGACACAAAATGATGCAACTTGTTCACCTACAACAGAGTTTAAGGTATATACTGTGTACCAGTGTACCAGAGTAGGCAGAAATGTGTAGCTCTCCATCTTAAAAAAGGATGATCAACACTCTGTTTACACCGAGGCTGTGATCGTGCCTTGAGGCGTATGAAGTGAAATCTGTGTGATCCTTCTATCGCAGATGTCCCGCATGCTCAGCTCATTCCCTATGCAAGTTAAATTAGGGCATTTGTAAGTTGGTCGGCTATCATTGAATCGACTCTAAAGGGGTTTACAAGGATAGTGACACACAGACAGGCAGAAATGTGTGTGTTTGTGTGAATGCGTTCAGGTGAGTTTAGAAACATACTGTATCTATCCGTCCATCTATACATCCATCTCTCATTGCATTTAAAGGTAGGGTAGGTACGTTTGAGAAACCGGCTCGAGATCGCTAGAATTTGAAAATACACAACCGGAGAAAATCTGCCACTTCCTTACAGAGCCCCTCCTCCAACACACACGAACGCGCACATGACCAATGAGGGCACGAGATAAGTTTGTGCACAGATGGAAGGCTGACAGGCAGGTAGGCCATCCAGTTATTTTAGCCGGGCCTGCTAAAATGATTGGTCGTGCTTTTTACAGTACTACGGCTTCCACAGATGACATTTTTGAATGGATTTTTTGTCAAAGCACTTAAGATATTCATTGCTATCGGGATGTTAAGAGCTTTCCATGGAATATAACAAAAAGTGTATCTCGAGCCGGTTTCTCAACTTACCAACCCTACCTTTAAGAAAACAATCTATTGGCTGAATTCACTGTAAACAACAGGCATCTCCAGCACTTAGACAGATCTGATTCAATTACAGTCTGCTATGCTCAGAATATCAGATGAGACAAAATTACACAAATGTTCTTAAGGTGACAAGTTGAGTGAATTCCTGATGAATGTAAAGCAGCAGCCAAGGACACAGTCTGCCTGCTCCCACGCAGAACGCACTGCAGAACTGTCTCAGGGCTTCTCTTATCATATGGTTTCAACACTCACACAGAGGGAAATTACATCATGCAGCTTCCTGAGTATAAAGTTAGAGAAAAGTGCTACAAGGATGCACCATAAAAGTGGTGTTATGGTGTTTTCAAATTACATATGGAACAACCATTTTGTGCGTACAGATGTTGTTACATGTTGCTTACCAGTATCTTGGTGGTGTAGGCGCTGTTGAGGGAGATGGAATTGATCAGTATGTCCATTGATTTGGTTGGCAGAGCTGCGGGATCTGGTACTTCTTTGTAGTGCACATCCCCGATGTAACACTGCACCACCGTCATGCGGTTGGTGGTCAGCGTGCCTGTTTTGTCGGAGCAAATGGTCGTCGCATTGCCCATCGTTTCACATGCATCCAGGTGACGCACCAGATTGTTGTCTTTCATCATTTTCTGCAGGAGTGAACAACATGATGATCATAATGTGTGCATTTAAACAGCTTTCAAATATTAAGGCAGTACCATTTGCACTGTTTGTCTTTTCTCTGTGTACGTGTAATTCTTGCCCACCTTAACAGAGTAGGCCAGGGAGATGGTGACAGCCAGCGGCAGCCCCTCCGGCACGGCCACCACCAACACAGTCACACCGATGATGAAGAACTTGACAAAGAACTGGACATAAATGGGAGTGCACTCTGGCAACCAAGGCAGCTTCTGCAGCACAAAGTTGTCAATGGCAAAGTACAGGACCAGGATGATGACTGTGACGGCTGACATGAGCAAACCTGAAAAAAAGGAAACAAAAGGTTATCAGATAAGGACAGAATCTGAGTGAAGTCACTTTATGTAATTAGTGAGGAGATTCTTAAATCCTCCTGAAACGTACATGTTTTGGTATAAGGAGGAAAAACAGATTACTTATACGAAACATGGGGAAAACCCTTAAAAGGTTCCAGTCGGGCCAAGAGGGTTTAAAACTTAGAGCATACTTCTGACACACCATAATGCCATGAGTGACAAAATCAGAGTCACGGTTTTGTGCATGCTGGCACACTTGGATAGCTAACTACATTAAACAAAGAAATTAGTCAATTAGATTAGTCAACACTATATTAATTTAGGGGCTAAATAAGCTCAAGTTTTATTTAAAAAGTGGTAAAGAGTCAAGTAAATTGTAATGCAGGACTGTTGTATAAAAATGGAATCATTTTAGCTAGGTGGTGCTATTACTCTGTGTATACTCCCTTTTGGTCTAATCAACAAGGGACAATATTGGAGGGACCCCTACCATAACCACTTATCCCTCTATCTACATTTCTTCATCATTCCTCATGACAATGTGCCAGCTTGGTAAGGTTTATTATTAGGAGTCTATTGAGAGCAGTGAAGCTGCATTCATATATAATTAAAAAAATAGGCACACTTGTGAGAGTGGAAGGCCATAAGATCCAACCGCTGCTTGTGTGCTAGTCCAGTAACAGTAGTTCATTGTTCTGACACCCCCTCCTCAATCCATCCCCTACACCAACAGTCTGTATAACAGCTCACTGTAGTAACAGGGACTTCTTTAAGGGCTTCTCAGAAAATGATAAACCCTTTTTACTTAGAACAACAACAAAATAAGCCTCTCGAAGAGAGCCTTGGCAGTTTAACTTGCTAATCACCTATTACAGATTTTTCGAAGGAAAAATACCGAAGACCGGTACAGAAAACCCTGCATTTTTTTCATGTTGCAATTTAGGTATGTGATATTAATTTCTCTTATTTGTTAAACAGTAATCCTACTTTGTTGCTGCTGCGAGGAAACCCACAGTGTGGGCATACAGTACATTAGCATCTGTTACGAAAAAATGCTTGCTGGATTGCAGAAAATGCAGAAGGGAAAAGGCATAATGCAATCTCAGATGTTCCCATTACAATGATTCAGCATGTCCCTAGAGGGAAGGTCATTTAGAAAAATAAAAGGGAACAGACTCTTCTACACTTCCAAAATTCATTGGAATGCATTCTTCTCAACTCATTTGATTGCTTTTAGGTAGACAAGAAGTCAGTGCACGACCTTGTTTGACTGACAGGATGACGGCTCAGAGCCTTGTTGTCCCTGATTTAACGGCCTGACAAGGCGATGGACTTGTACCTGCTTTGCCGATCTGGACAGCCAGTTTGGTCAGCTTCCCTTGGAGCACAGACTTCTCTTTCTTCGAACCGGTATGCTTCTTCTTCTCTTTCTCCTCGGACTCTCCACCTTCAGCACTCTTTAGAGGCTGCATCTCCATGGCAGCGGCTCCATCCTGCTTCTTGACTGTAAACACCACAAAGAAACAGACAGAAGCAGCGTTAGAGATGTAGATAAGACCGAGGGAATGGGGCAACCAGGGGGCTAGGCTTCAAACCCAGGTTATACAGCAGAGATACAGTTTAGATATAACACCAGGAAGATACCATATGACATCCCATGACACAATGAGAAATAATTGGGATATATTAAGCTTTACCATACCATAATAAGAAATGTGTTTGTCCCTGCAGTGTCTTCTTGGTTAAATCAAAAAGGTTGTGAACCGTGTTTCTATATAAAGAATAACAACTAGAAAGCATGCAAATGTAGGTCTTTTTTTTGGTGTAGAAAAGGGAATCACTGCGTTTCTTAGCGTTCATGCTATTTTTCATCAAATACACATATTTACAGTAAGTCATGAATAATTCAGTGGTTGTAATCCATGGCCATGTTCAAAGATTTGAAGCCTGCTTATCATGTGGAAAACGTGAGGAAAAAGAAACCTTATAAATACTGAAGCACATTTTACACACAAAGAAATCACAATAAGCTAAAATGTATAAAATGTTAACTGTCAGCAGAATAATCAATATAAAGACAATTCAATAAAACTGCCTCCACCAGTCAAAAGGTCCAAATCCAGTGTCCACATCTTCACACTTTGAGATGACATCATATTCTACCTACTATATACTGAAAGAACTGTTTATTGTTTGGCAAAAAACAAGGTTTCCTATTTTCTGTTGTCTTCATCTATCTCCCCCTCTCACACACATACAGTTCAGTGCTTCCTTATGTATCTCTTACCAAGGATCAGCCCAGTGTTTCAATCACTGTGAGGCAGGGAATGATGATCACCCAAAATAAATTCTCTGGTTTTGCTTAGTTTTCTCCAGGCTAATGATACAAGACAGTAAGTGTGTTTATCCGACTGTAATCCTAAAGTACACTTTAAACATCATACCAAGGTGTAGAAAGTCATCATTTACCCTTCCCTTTGGGGACACTTTGACTTGCTCAATTTGTGCTTATTAAATCTCTACGCGCTTTTGTTTTGAAAGACGAAACACGTTTAGACATGAAATGAATGCTTCAACTTAGTAAATAGACTTGTAGATACATTATTAGTGGAAAGGTTGTCAATTATTTCCAAGTTTGAATATTTAAATGTCAGAAACAATATCAGTCTTTTTACTGTGGTATGTAATTAATCAATTGGTTGATTCAGACAGGACAGTTTATTTATTTGTTTAAAAATCAAACACATGTTTTGAATGTGTAAATGTGCTTCTTGTTCTATATTTTATAGCTTGTAAGAAACACTAAGATATTGGGATGAGCATAATTTTTCACAAACTAAATTGATTGATAAACAATATTTAAAACAAGCAAACATTGCTGCAGCTAAAGCCCCGGAGGACACCGTAAACAAATAATTGATCCCTTTAATGACAGAACATTTACATCAGAAAGTGGGGAACATTTCAAGAAACATTGGAAAAGGGAAACCAGGGTGTGATATAATACTCGAGTACTCGAGAGGAAAGTTTAGAGAGGGTTTGGTTCGAAGAAGGAACCCTGAGCGAGGAAGGTACAGTAGTTGAGGGACAGTTTTCTGTTTTCTCGCACAGAACAAGACAAGTCAACAACACAACAAGAACAACAACAAAACAACACACCAGTGACAGACAGAGTGAAGGGAGGGATTTTCTTACCAAACATGACTGCAGGTAAAACCTGGGTCAAACACTGACATTAATCAGAGAAAGACTAAACAACTTGAGACATCAAGTATTAAAAGTGCAGGAAATAATAAAGGCGGGAATAAACAAAGCAATGTGGGATTTGTTCACCTGCATTTGACCCAGAGCTTACACCACATGTCATAGAAAGGAAAAGATGAGGAAGAGAGGAACAGAGAAGGCAGGGGAGGAGAGAGTGAAAGATATGGTCTGGTTACCTTTAATCTGGTTGCTCTCCATATTGCCATCTTGCATTTTACCTATGATGGAGACATACAAGACAATAACAACAAAAATAACCAAGGCAGACATGTCAACAAATTATCACAACAGAGGCAGCACACACAGTAAAAAACAAAAATCACAAACAAGGAGACAGGGAAATGACTTTTAATAAAACGTCTCCGTGTCACATAAGAAGGCTTTTGATTTGTACGAGATGTAATGCAAGCAGAAGCTACATCTCTTGGAAAGGGGCCACAGAGAAAAACCATAGTGTGCAGAATTCTTTCTTGTATTATGTCGAGAACATTACATTTCAAAAGATTTGATTTGATTGCATTAGAATATTACTAAAAATGCTTAATGGGCATTACTGAAAAACATGTTTAACATCAAAATATATTGTGTATGACATAATATCATTCAGAACATTAACTGTACACTTTCTGCAGGATTCTTCGTTTTAAAATATTGTCCTGAAGGACATAATCACACTATGAGCACAGGTAATTATTACACACAGCTTATCACCAATACGAGTCAAATCCTTAGGCTGTCAAATTAGATTTCAAGAAACACAGTAGATACAGCATTACACTGAACACTGACAGTGGGGGAGTGTACAGGACACACACACACACACACACACACACACACACACACACACACACACACACACACACACACACACACACACACACACACACACACACACACACACACACACACACACACACACACACACACACACACACACACACACACACACACACACACACACACACACACACACACACACACACACACACACACACACACACACGAGAGACAGCATGCATAAGAGGAAAGTTCAGAGAGCTCATGCAAGATCGAACGCTTAAGAGTGAAGCAGACAGGAGGTAGGAGAAATACGAAAAGAGAGGGAGAGAGAGAGCGAGCGAGCGAGAGGGAGAGAGAGAGAGAGAGCGAGCCAGAAGGAAAAGCCTCCCACATGGCATGTTACATAAGAACAACGGGAGGAAAATCGAAATCTAAGTTCAGAGACGCTGAATTATTATGCTGTTGTTGGATTCTGCTTACACAAGGAGCAAACTTAGTGTATACTTCATTTAAATGCGTTTGAAGCACACGCTACTGTTTCAAAATGCAGAATCAACTTGCTAGTAGAATTCAGATTCAATAACTACACACAGAATATATCAAACTGCAAACTAATGAAACATGAATAATTACTATTGTCTTATGCCTTTAAACAAAATTAACACACAGTGCTTACAATAAAAGACAAAATAATAAAGTAAGCATTTATTTTATGCTGCACTTTTGATCACATTATCCACCCAGGCTATAATTATAGAGATTTGCATTTGTTTCACAACATCTGTCTGTAAATGCTTTTTTTTGCTCAAATGTGTGAAAGAGAAAATGACTTCGGCAGTGTTTGAACACCAGATATTTCAGAATCCACAGCATGTTAGTGAAGTATAAATGGCTCGTTTCACCTGCGATTCCACACTAGCAAGTTCCCTTGAATCACGATATAGCTAAGATGACAAATCGCTCCGTTCCCGCCCAGGACAGCACAAGGTCACCATTAAAGTGCTAATCACCCCCCTCCTGCTTCGGGAACACACATTTTGTGGAATCTTTCCAAGGAGACAAAGATGATAGATAACCCAGTGGAACAATACATATAGTTAAGCTTTTGCATCTTGTCAAGCTAACCTGAGAACAGAGGATTTGCACCAAGTGATCCCAAAGGACACCCAAATACAGAAGATGGCCCTATTGTATGTTGTCAGAAATCTGGATTCATATGACAATGTATAAACTAAACTTCTAACAAAAGGTCAACAACACCATTTTAAGAGTCATTCAACAATTTCGGGAAACTTTTGTTAGATTAGAAAAATCTGAATGTCCAATAAATATGGCAGTTCCACCAGGAGCTTGTTAGCTTAGCATGTGGACAGGAAACACTGCAAAGATTACCTGGCTCTGTCTGATGGTAACAAAATGTACTTAACAACACCCCTATCTTGCTTCTTTAAAGTTTGATATATACAAAAAACAAGGTCACTTTGGAAGAATTTTCCAGGCTTTCAAAAACTCACACACTTGCTCTCATTTACAATTTACAACCTGCATGTCTCTGAATGAATATAAAAAAGGCTCAACCAGATTTCACTACTTAGAATCACAAAGACCTTATGTGTTTCATTTGATTCAGTTTTCATTAGGAATGGACCACAAAAAAAAAAGTCATTCTAAATTCTTCCAAGAGAGGTTTAATGAATATACGCTAAATGGCCTACAAGACAAAAGATAGCATAAAGAGAAGAAAAAGAAACACAAAACTACTTTCTACAACTACAAAAATACGTGCATTGACAACATGGATACAACACAACTGAAACAAAAGGTAGAGAAGAAGGTGACCACCCGTGATAGGAGGCAGTTTCAGAATGGAGAAGGTAGGAGGGGTCAAAGGTCACAACAGAAAGAGGTCAGAGGTTTTGTCAACCTACCATTAATTAGGCTGGCACTGCCAGGGGCATTAATGCCTGCAGCCCCATCCGTGGCTATAGTTGCGATGGGGTGGATGGGGGGGTGGGAGCAGTCTAGCCAGTAACAATGAAGGCCGAACAGAATGAACCAAAACACACGCGCCCACACACACACACACACGCGCATGTGCACACACAAGACAATGAACAGAAATAACATGGTTATAGCACATTTAAGAGTCTCAGCTTATGTATGTGTATACTAACGTCTGGTGATGTGATCAGCGTAGTTTAAACATGTTTAATGTGTCTATTATTTATGTTAGTATATGTATGTTATGTAATTTCATAAAAGGTATGCCAATAGAACAAAAAAGTGTAACATTAGACGGACATGAAACATGACATTTCACATAACATGTATAGAAAAAAGATATAGTAACATGTAAAACCAGAGCTTAAAAATATGAAAAAAAGATGTTTCAATACACTGAATATCTTATAATTCTGTCTATATACAATAGCTTTACCATTATTGATATACTGGTGTTGTAGTTGTTTGTGTTAATTGTATGTAAAGTTCCTTTAAACCATGTTATTCATGTAGTATCTTTTAGCATCACAAAATCATATTGTGAACAGAAAAGTGTTGCATAGCCACTCTGTAAATAAACTGTCCTGCAAAGTCAAAAATTAAAATAAAAGGCCAGCGTATCTGCAAGGTAATAACACATGTCCCAACCAGTTAGGGACTGATGCATTTTAGTAGTGTTAAATGTTAGTTTCTACATTTTGACCCTCCTATAGTTATAGTATTTTTTTTTTTTTAAACCTGAAATGGATCTTGCATAGATGTTTTTATGTCTTTTGACAACAGTCACATAAACGATGACGACTGGAAAAATGAAATCCAATTGAAGGTCGATCATTGTTTTACTGTGACTTTTTGTGTATCATTGTGTTAATTGTTAACAAAAAACTATGACTTACAGTAGCATGAATGTTTATTCTCCCTTATTCATTGATAAGCTTACTGAAAAAACATTTGCTTTCTAAAATGACACAGCAACTTATGGATTTCAGTGCAAATTACTGATGCAATCATGAGCATTATGTTGTCACATAATCCACCTGCATCATAACTACTACATATTAAGTCATATTTAGGGAGTCTTAATACAACTGTAAAAGTTAAATCAAGGATGTGTTAAAGGCCAATTCAAAGTGAATTTAGATCAATGAGCTTAGACTATCATATCAGATTGATGAACATTTAGGAAAAAAATGCATTTACTCTAAAGGCAACTACAGGTCAAAGGAAGAACATGTGATGTTTTTAGATCCAAGTATTATCTTCAGGATAAGACATGTTTTATTGTTACGTATACACCAATTCTGAGACAGCACTAAAGCAAAATGCCTCAAAACATAATGTCAGCTATCCATGCACACTACATCTTTCAAAAGCTTTTACTGTGCACTCCACTCTACTGCTGGTACATGTGCTGTACACCTGCAAGGCTGTCGCTCTCATGCCATTGTTCTGCAATGCAGAAATGAGATGAGTCTGACAGCCTTTGTTTACTCGTGGCATTCAATAGGTCTTTGAAACAGGACTGCTGTTGAATGCTAGCTAGTTAGTTTGATGAGTGCAGTGCCTGTTATATGGGGAGAGGATTATGCATTGTGAAATGTGTCATCTGTCAACACTTGAGAAGATGCAGTGTTGTGAGGATGCAGCTTCTCTTTGTAAGAGGGGAATTACACAGGGGAAAGGGTGCTCGGCTACAGGAAAGGGGTGTAGAATAACGGCGGTTTATTGGGGATCATTAAGGGTTAGAGAGCAAAAGGATAAAGTACCACTCCCAGGGGTCAGAGAAAGGTGATACTCTACCTGTATTCTGGTGTCCGTCTTCCACTGCCCCTCCTTTGAGGTGAATTTAGAAGGATAAGAGAGTGAGTACAACAATGCACCTGAACCCACAGAACCTGGATCCTGCAGCTCACAAGTGTACCACAACATGCTAATATCATACAGTGCTTATACCCATTCAGGTGCTGCCCAAATACCTACAACAGGCTTATACAGTTCAGAACAGTTCAACAGGTGTACATATGAGCTTATTCTTAATAACCCTTATATATATTATGCATTGATCGTACACTCTTACACTTTCAGGACATAAGGACAGGTTTTTCAAGGGTGCATATCTGAGCCACACTTACAAATTACCGTAATACTTCTGAAGCAAGTGCAGACACATCTTGCATTTGTAGAAAATGATTATTTAATGATCTGACCTTTCTTTTGTTTCTTCTCCTCCTCCTCTGGGCCGGCCCCCAGCAGGGTCATGATGATTCCAGTCTGAGAGTTGACCCCCACAGCGGTCACCACCATGCGCCCTGATCCCTCCATCACATGGGTGCCTGGAAGAAAGCGCAGTAGGGTGTAATGGTAGGATGTTACAACCAGATTAAATGCGTTTGTGTTAACTTACGCAATTCTTTTATAACCCTGAATGAATGGATGCATTTGTTAGCACTACGGTAAAGATGCTAAACTTTAGATGAATAAATTGAATGAATGATTTGGTTAGTCAATCGCAAAAAAACAAACTATTGACACTCCTTTTAAATAGAATGAAGTCAAATGTAACTACACTAAATATAATAATTGTTAATTTCCTTATTTGACCAATTATTCTATTCATTATTTTTGAACAGTATAAAAGTTGTTATTGGTTGGTATGCTACATACAATTTAAAACACATTAGTGTGACTCACATGGTTGATCTACAACATTTAATTCTATATCAGCGTCACTATATCAAACATTAAATCGTCAAAACCAAAGGACAGCATTTTATTCTTAATTCTCATTCATACAGCGAATTATTCTCTATTCTTACACAAAGTCTTATTGTAAATCCAAATGTGCTGGAGTAGAGAGCCAAAAACAGTTTTAAGAAGAGCCCCAATGGGAAACCGTGTAGTAGACTTCTGTGCTTGTGTAGTATACACAAGTATACACACGGAGAACATTATTAACCTTTGGGAGAGAAAGTCCATGTGGGTGAATATGAGGCCAATTAAAGGAGGCAGCAAAAGGCACACAGCTAATTATCCACAGGAAAAGTTCTAAGATGTGAGATCAGATTAACGCATGTTTCTGTTATCAGTGAGATTCTTCAGAAATTCAACAGCTGCAGATTCTGGTGTCCCTGCTGCAGCGAAGGGAAAATAGATGAAAGAAAGCCTCCAGGGCGTCACCAGTGTCTTCTGTTGTCTTTATAATTAAGAACCTATTGTCTTTCGTCCGAGTTAATGCCATGACTGTGACTTATAATTCATTTAGTTTTAAAATACTTTATTCTGAAATAAGTTCTTGGAAGTCTACTCCTTCAATAAACTAGAAACATGTGTGAAGCCTTCTTGTTATATGCCAACATTACACAGTTGCATGTAGTCATTGTAAAAAGTCCTGATTATTATGATGCCATTTAGTATTTCTAATTATGTCAGTTATTTAATGCAGTAGATGAAAATAAAATACAGTGACATTTGGCTAGTAGGTGTACAAAATCTACCCCACTGTATATTCTGATGTTATGCGCATGGTGAAATATTCTCAAATTGTCATTGAACGTTTTTTTTGAAGGATTCAATAATTCCAAACTGCTTTCTATGTTTTGAATACAATAACATTAAAGATTAAAAAACGGTGTGGGTTGAGTCCCCTCCTGTCCCTTTGTCCTTCAGACGTCCCACATTACATGCAGCAGACATGGCCTTGGCGTGCAGTACCGACTCATCCATCTCTACTGAGAGCAGTGACAACATACCAGACAGCAGCATGGGGTCTTTGTCTGCGTTCTTCTTGACGTGGTCGGACTCTCCGGTCAGTGATGACTCATCAATCTTCAGGTCATTGCCCTGGATCAACACGCCATCAGCAGGAAGCAGATCACCTGTAATAATGGAAACAGCAGAGTTGCTAGATTTTCTGTCATTTATGGATACTGCCTTACACACTAAACTAAGTTAAGAAAAACTCAAAAAACACATTGGAGTTGGTCTGTCTGCAGCTAATTAATTCCTCAACATTTAAACACTGTTGCATTCATCTATTTAATTGTTAAAGTGGACTTTATAATTGTAATCCCCCTCTGGAAATGAGGTGGAAGTATTTTCAGCCGCTGAACCACAAAATTGACTTTGCACAGAACAATAGACTAGCCAATGGATAAAGTCGGTGGGCACGTCCAGGCACACCAAAGTTATCAAAATGTACTGAAAACTTTGGTCCATTTTAGTTCACTTTAATCAGTGTTTCAATTAAAGCCACAGTAGAAATCTGCCGCACTTTGCAGCAGAATCAAAACAGCCGCAGCCGTTTGATAGTATTTGCTTTGGGGGAGGGAGGTTTGTGACCACAGAAGCCTCTTGCAGCTCATGTTTGGTATTCTGAAATGTACCAACCTTTTATTAATCCCGTTTAAAGATCTATGAACTTGCATCAAGAAGATATTGGCATGTGAGCTTACACAACTTTCAAAGTTCATTAGCTTCTTGATATAACACACACCAGGGTATCTGCACATTTTCTAAGTACACATTTAATGACTTTTAAGAAAAAATAATACCAATACAAAAAAATCGATGAACTAGACAACAGTATAAACCGTTACCGAGTTTTATTGCATTTGAATAACGGGAAGTATTCTGCACATTACCCAACATGACTGCCTTCGCATTAACAAAAAAAGAATTGTATAGCAGTAGACCAATGGAAACCAATGTCCCCCCCTGCACACTCATTCATTCTGCACCAGATAACATGTAATACCTCCCCTCCTAAAATTCCAGACCTTTTTAGACCTTGAATATCCTCACACCTACCGTATTTGATCTGAGCGATGTCCCCCACCACTATGTCTGACACGGGCAGCTGTATGACCTGGCTGCCGCGGACCACCTGGAACTTCTGCTCCTGCTCGATGCGGTTCTGCAACCCACGGAACTGCTTCTCTTTCGACCAGTCGTTGAAAGCTGTCACCAGCACCACACACACCACAGACAACAGGATGGCGGCGCCCTCGATCCAGCCGGCGTCCGCCTCGCCCTCGTCCTCCACCCCAGCTGCACCCGCGCCACAGACTGCACAAGGGTAGGATGGAAACAAAGAAAAGGGCAAAAGTTATAAAGGTGTTATACTATTTTCTGTGTCTTTTTGGAATGTGTTCTGATGACACTGACTTACAAGCTGGATATCAGATCATGATTTCATACTAAGGTATGTACTGTAAGCTCCTTTATGTGTATAGTATGAACACTTTATAAAGAAAGACACACAACCGGTGTAATCGAAAATCACACTGGAGAGAGTGAGTGCGAATTATTTGCCTGTGTACAATGTTTGTCATATAAAAAGACAATTTCAGAAACAAAATAATATAAAATCTTTAGAGAATTCACTTCTCCTAGACTGGCCATTTGTCTGCTCCACTTCCTATTAATGCCCTGCAGTCTACTGGCTGTGCACTTGGGTATTTGGGAATGAAACAAGGCTTATTCCCAGTCGCCCCCGTGCTGCTTCCTGTAATACTCTGGGAGCTATAGTGGCTACACTCCTGACTAGCTGACTTCAAAGGCCCTCAGTGGGGTGATTTGCTTTGGACTGTACATAAATTGCGGCTCACAAAAGAACAGAAAGCCCCAATATTTTAGGCATTAAATAATGAAGGATCTGAATCAAGCAAGAACTAGACTCAAAGAAGTAATTTGGGCTTTCTGTTGCACTACAAAAGGATTCCAATCAATATGTTCATTTAGTGGATTTACTGCACACGCCGACACATGTTAGACCGCCAGTAGCACTGCACACATATGCACATATAATAATTATATTGTTATCTATGTAAATGACTAAGTATTGTTCATTGAATGTATTTAATTGCATTTTTTCTTTTTCTAGTTTGTACAGTGTTGTCAGAAAAAAATAGCTACTGATTAGTTAACTTTCTCCATAAAGATTATGCAACGTAAGGATGGCATTGATGTGATAAGTGAAGTCATTTTAATATCTTGTGAAGAAAAAAAAGATTGTTAAAAAAGCTTTTTTATGAACAATTAGTAGTATATAAACACGTACATGTGTGCACAAACTGTTTTCGTGTATGTCTCGTGGAAAGACACACAATTGTTTAGATTCACGTTGTTTCTTTGATACAGACGCAATTAAGAGCCTCCTCATTCAACTGCAGCCGGGCTGTTTCATATGTAAATGAGAATTAAGTCTTCCCACCACCTTCCATTTTTGGACTGTTGAGCTTGTTTTGACCTATAAATAAACAAATCCTTAAAGCATTAATGAGTGTCGCGTGGGATATTTTCTTTTCACATATATCAGGACGGTTCAAACCATGTAGTTTCATGACTTCATCTTGCATGATTGCAATGCTATCGCAGTAAATCTGTCCACAGCAAGACAGAACAATGTTTTCTTTATTATCTATGTTTTATATCTACAGTATAGTCATTATCTTTAACACTAAGATTATAATTTAGGTTTTTCTCTCATATGTACTGTCCATCGCTGCTCTGCTATACACTGGCACACAGCCATTCGTTGATTATCTGAATGACGTGTTTTTGAAGTGGAAAGCATATATTTCTATCTGAATTCACGTCTATTCATATCAGCAGGGGTTTATGTGCTGATCAGATTCATAAATTCATATCAGACGAAAATGAGACTTGTATATCGGCACCTTTTTTGCCTCAAGTTAAAGAGAAGCTTGATTACGTTCCTCCAGATGGACGCAGCTATTAGCAGCTATTAGCATAATGATTCCTCAGGCCAGGCTCTCCTTTATTTGGAGAGCTCACTCATAAAGCAATGCTGCTCAAAATATGCAAAGAAAATAATCAAATGAACAGAAAGGTGCGATCAAATTACCAATCATTTTATGACTGGAGTTTTTGGCTGACTGAATAAATAATTTTCTCTCTCATTAACCCTGACTTAATCCTAACCAACCAACTAAAACATGTTATTAACTAAACAATGATTTGATTAACTACCCATGCAAGTGAGACAGTTGTTACCTTTTCTTCTTTCTCTGGTATTTCCACCTTCATAACACTTTAAAACCCTTAAAATGATGACTGGTCCCTTTGGCAGGCTAACTGAATGCCATTACTGTGATAATGCTTTGCGCAATGAGTGATGTTGCTGACTCAGCACCTCGTTATGGTCTCTGTCTTCATTTCCTGTTTCACTGCTCACAGTGCTGATGTATGAGCTCTGGGAGCTCAAGGTTATTTCTCTACTCAATGCTTCATTAACCTTTCCGGTACCTCTCGTGCACACATTTAACACGTTCATATTGTGCACGCACACTCACGAGCAAGCTTGATCTCATGAGGCAGGTCAAAAAGTACGACCTGCCTCAGCAATTTAAAAGTGTGTGGGAAAGTGAGTGCCTGTAGAAGTGTGTGTGTTTGTGCTAATCTAAAGACCTCCAAACAAATGACAAGACAGAATTTAAAGGTCACCTATTATGCAAAATCCACTATGTCACGTCTTTTATACATAAACATGTGTCCCCTCTGTGTAAAGAGATTCTGAAAGTTTCAGGAAAAAAGATTCTCTCTCTTTTTGTCCTGATCCATTTATATAAAAACCTGTCTGAAAATGAGCTGATCAGATTTTGGCCACTTTATGATGTCATAACGATTTTTTGGCTTGTGTAACTATTAGCCAATAACCAACTAAGGTAACCCCCCCCCACCTTATCACCTGAATCTCCTCCTAGAGCAACATTGTGTTCTTTTCAACCAAATATCTCTGAGGGCCGTGGGGAGTGGCTCCTTATTTTCATCTAAAGTAACAGACAGAGAATCAGCACTTTTGAAACAGGGCTGAAACAGAGGGGATTATGGGATGCTACAATGCATGATCTGTTTGGTATTTCGTGCCAAACACTTCGGAGACATGTTTTGTATATATCTGAGACCTATAATATATTGATGAAAAACAGTATAATAGGGGACCTTTAAAGTCACTAAACTCACATTCTCCGCTGCTGTCTCCGGGGGGGTGGTAGAAGGAGAGTCCCAGGGAGATCAGGGCAGCGATCTCCAGGATGATGAGGGTGACGTCCTGCAGGGCCTCCCATACCAGCTGCAGGAAGGTTTTTGGCTTCTTTGGAGGTATCACGTTTTTACCATAGATTTCTTTCCTCTTGTCCAGGTCAGTTTGGTCACCTGCGAGACCTGAGACAGAGAGAGGGAGAAGGAGTTAGATCAATTGTGTTGATCAATTATGTGTCGGATGTTCTAACAGACGAGTTTAATGTTGTACATATTAAGGGTTAACACTACAGCAATCTGCATTTATTCTACATTAGAAATAAAACAATATATATAACAGCCATTTTTATCCAAACGCAAATAAATATTAGTTTAACTGCAAAGCTAAAAACTGCAGATATAATTGCCGTCTTTTTGGATCTTTTTTTCTCTCTGCCTTTCTTTTATCATTTTTGCTCTCCGGGCACACACACCATCTCTAATTACCAGTTTCCAACATGATGGGCCTCGACTCTGCGTTCCTTATATCATTCTGCTCAGCAGATCAGGGCCTTGACCTCATCCACCTCCTCATACTCCATGAACTATTGCACATAAATATCTTTGGCTCTTTTATCTGAAAAACCTTCATTGCCCGAGGGACATTTTACTTTTAGAATGCTGTCAAGAAAATAATGCTCGTGCAGTAGCTCAAATAATATGGCGAAAGGGTCTGTTACATCAGAGGGAATGCTTTGGCAAGAGCAACCGTTCAACTTTGTTATCCAAATAGTATTAACACGAATGAATTGAGAAGCTTGCAAGTAATTATCTTTGATTTGACTTGTTTTAATGATGCATTATGTAAGCTTTCAATGTGGATGAATAGGAATGATAGAAGAATATGTTCTGTGAATATTACAAATATTATGTTAAATATGGACTACTCTACTTCTGTTCTTCATATTGACACATTTTCATATATTCAATCACATTTTCAAAGCTGCAAAATAGTATTGATTATTACCGATTTAGTTTTTGATTGATAGGGATGCTCCGATCGATCGGCCGCCGATTGATATCGGCCAATACTCACTCTCTGCCGATCGATCGGTGCTCTCTAAAAATGACGATCGCGAGAGCCGATAGCATGACGTAAAATACATGACACTTTTCTCTGAGCGCGGCAAAACAAGCTCGCCAAAATGGCTTCACCAGTCTGGCATTATTTTAAGGTGTCCAAAAATGACAATAAAATAGCGGTATGCAACGTGTGTGAAGCAGAAATCCTGCAGCTCCGCCCACTGTGACGGACCGGTGAGCGGAGCAAAACACACAAGAGTTAGACCTAACACACTTAGCTATTTTATCTACCTCTGGAACAAGCTAAACTAGTTATAAATATGTTTATTCTTCACTGTCGGGTCACTCATTACTGGATCAGTGAGCTGCATGAGATACTGACAGGCTGTCAGGAGAGGGAGAGAGGAGAGAGAGAGAGAGGAAAAGAGAGCGGTACGCTAATTTCTCCCGTGTTATTATCCAAAGTTAATGTAAACTTGAATAATGTACTTCATTTGAATGTAATAATTATGTTGGTTGTTTGTGGAAGCGCCAGTGAATGAGCCCCATTAACTGAGACCCATTAACTGAGTTTTAAACATCACTCGAAATGGAAGATCCCCATAGGCCCCACCCACTCGATCGGATCGGCGATCGGTATCGGCCGATACACTCTTAGTGAGTGTTTTGCTCTGCTCACCGGTCCGTCACAGCGGGCGGAGCTGCAGGATTTCTGCTTCACACACGTTGCACACCGCTATTTCATTGTCATTTTCGGACACCTTAAAATACTGCCAGACTGGTGAAGCCATTTTGGCGAGCTTGTTTTGCCACGCACAGAGAAAACTCTGTGTGTCATGTATTTTACGTCATGCGATCGGCTCTCACGATCGGCCTTTATAGAGAGCACCGATCGATCGGCAGAGAGTGAATATCGGCCGATATCGATCGGCGGCCGAATATTTGTACAATAATGATATTTATACAGAAACTCCTCTGAACTTTTAACTAAATCAAACCTTAAAAAATATATTTGCAGCCTGCTAACAACAATGCACAAGTGTGTTCTGAATATTCACATATTCTCTGGCTGCTCTTTTAGTGCAGTACCATTATCTGGTAGCTGAGCGCACACAGTGTGCGTGTTCACAGTGTGCGTGTTCACAGTGTGTGTATCCACAGTGTCTGTGTCGCTCTCTCTCACAACCACAGACATTACCCCAGCATTATGTCATGCATGGTGCGTCACCGGGTCTCCCAGGAGTGGCCCTGGATCGCACCTGATAACATCACTGCTGCATGACACTGTTTCACATGTGAATGCAAATGCGCTGTGAGCCCATTTATTAACATGCAGAGAATAACTGATGTTCAATATGCATCCCATGTCGGAGAAAGAGCAAAAAAGGGAATGACAGAGTGGTCGTGTGAAAAGCAGGAGAGTAAAGAGTTTACATTCCCTTGCTTGAATAAGGGAGCTGGAGCAACTGAGAGGGAGCAGGAGAGAAGGAGGGCATGCAGAAAAGCGAACAATTCCCAGCTCCTAAGTAGGAGAATGCCCTGGTTACAAATAGATCAGTCTATAAATAGCCTCATTATCCATTCTCTTTTAATTGTCTCTGCAAGAGGACCTAGCATGCTATCCCATTGATCTCCACAGCACCCTGCCTCACATCACATACAAGCATGTCTGTGTGTCCATGCATGTGTGTGTACGGCTCGGTGAGTCGTGACTGCCTGCACGTGCTTTGAGTGTGTGTGTGTGTGTAATAAGGCTGGATAAGCATGTCGGCAGTTGCTTGCACTATTACACGGTAAAACGAGAGCTCATATAATCGGGCTTTAACCAGTTCCAGTTGGTTAGATTCACGCACACACAGTTAAATGCAATCTCTACCACAGAGAACACATCTTTTATACATATCCATATTGTAGACCCCGCTTTTTCTTTTTATATAGGTCATGTGCACATCAAATTGAACTTTCCCTCATATTTCTACCAATACCTAATGCACATAATAAAATAAAAATATTCTACTCTGTATTTCTATGTAGTTATAAAATGTAAATGCACCATTCTTCACAAGGGCAGCAATCATTTTACATTAAAATACAACATACTGCATGCTCTTCACTGTGTCTGCCATGTGATAGGCTCCTCTGAGGGTTGGTGGTGCATCAGTTCAGCATGACATCTAGCCTTGTTAAATGCTTCAACTCCTTAAACGCCCTTGAGATGTAAGCTATGCAGTAATCAATCTCCTTAATCATTAAACACTCATTGCTTCCTGCAAAATCCTCTGCTATATTATCATTCCTTCCTGGATAGCTGATTGCAACGCTGCTTAAGATTCATTTGCCAGATTATGAAATATTGTAAGCTAAATACTGTCAGCCCACCTAACTGCTCTGGCAGGGGATTTTGAGGAGGCAGTGAGAGGGCAGAGGAGCAGTGGTGATACACAGATGAGTCACAACAACCTCACACAGGACGAAGGGTGATTGCTAAGGAGTCTGTGTGCTACAGTCCATCAGCAAGTAATGGAGCCCGAACACACTTTATACGAGATGTACATAAGGAATAAAGGGGAATAAGAAACAATGCACTCTTGGTGCTGTTTAGCGGGTCATTTTCTATATGAAGTTATTTTTGAATAGTTTTTGGAAAGTCGACCTAGAGTATATAAACTAAAATAAGAGATGATGCCCCATCGTCATTAGTTTGAAGTCTTTTTAAGATTGTCAGCTTATTGACTTAAAATAAATAGTGGGCATGCTGGTGACTCAGCAGATTAAATAAAGCCATTTATTGTACCAGAAATGCATGATAGTTTGAATCTTGCTTCTGGATTTGGTTGCATTCTACCAAGTCACTCAGTTTCAGTCACTTCACACTGAATAGCTAATTAGGCAGGCATTCTTAATAATAAAACCCATTTGGTCATAATTGACTGTGAGCATTACATCGCTACATAGCTACAGAAATATAATGATGGTATTAATCATGAAAAGGACATGACTGCAGCATAATGAATCAATATGGGCTTCTCTGGCTGCAGAGCTGCCTTTACTTCTGTGACTCTGGAATGAGCCTCTCTACTCTAAGATCAATTTAGAAACCTGACCATAGACTCTGGCATAGGCACAACACTAATGTAATCATGATAAGATACTATGTCATTAAAAATACAATGATTAGACTTAGGACTCTTTTCTTAATCGATGAATGCCTCTTTTCCTCTCCTGCTTATTTGAGAGTAGGATGTGAAAGGTCTAAAGTGGAAAAACAGAATCACATTTATAACACTCTCAATCAGAATTATAAGTTGCACTAAAAGACTTCAGAAACATTATATGGGTTTACAGATTGTATTTAAATTCAATGACCATACAATCTAGAATTTCTCTCCTCCTCTTCTTCACTGTGCTTCCTCTATAATGCATGTCTGCTAATGCACTGATCTTCTAAACACAGCAGGGTTCTGCTTTGACAAATGACACCTACCTAGCATCCTGTTTCATAGACTGGGAAAAACTCAAACTTTACGCTATTCTTTCTGCAGGAGAGGAAATGGGATTTTTTTCAGTCAGGGAGCATGATGGCATATTTTAACAGTTGGTCCTTTTTTTTGTGCGGTTAAAAATAGATCTCCATGGAAACACTATGCAACCCACTCGTTGAGTGGAAATACCCGCAACTCTGAACCTCAGAGAATGTGTGAATATGTAAGTAAGTGTGTGTTCTGTGTTCAAGAGCATGCATGTGCATGTGTGTGTCTGTTCAGAGGGATGTACTGCATGTTTCAACAAAGACAAGAATTAAATGGTGAGATGACTGTAAATGTCCTTTCCAGATAAGCTTGTTACAGTGGAGCGGCAAACAAATAATATAAAATAAAAAAAATGTATATAATGGATTGGACAACGCTCTTATATGCCTGACTTGGACCCAGCAGTATCTGCCCCCCCCCCCCCCCCTCCGAGCACGGTTTGGTTCAACATCTCCCTGCTTGTCTGTCTGAACTTTGTTCCCCCCCCCCCTCATAAAACTGTGTGCCACATTGTCCAAAACAAGTCACCATGGGAACAGGGTTCTCCGAGGATGATGATGATCATCATCATCATAACGACGCAAAATATTG